TTACTAATTGCCAACCCACAACAGGGTAGGATATGACTAGTTGAACTATTATTGTTCATCCTAGTCCCATTATTACCATAGTCAGTTGTACTATATTCAACAACCTAACACCATTAATGAATGGTCCAGACCCTATTTTGGGTGTAATTTTATCAACTCGAGTTGAGTTGTATATATAATAATTTACTTATGATCATTACACCTTTGAGTGATTAATTAGTGTCTCTACCATCCTAGGGTGATATAGAAGAGCTAACCTAAAGGTACTTCCAGTGACACTGGTTTATCACTCAAATCATTAGTGTGTATGATTGTATATATATAATGTGTATTAATTTTAAGTGCTAACCTCTAGTAGAGGTAGGATTATTGCCTAGTGAGTGCAGAATTTACCCTAGGCTACCATTAGTGTTTGTTCAGTATTATGAGCAGCCCAAGTACAAGCCCCACAAGGCTTCACCAACTAGCCAGGATGGATAATGCAGGGAGAATGAAAAGAACCCTTGCAGGTCTTAAAGGCCACTTAACAAGACAGATCAAGAAATGTGAAGATTTGTCACAACAATCTCAAGTTGATTATGCTGACCTGGAAAGCTATTATCAAGCAGCTGCAGGTAAATTTGAGCAAATCAAATGCCAAATGGCTGTCCTTGTGGGGACAGACTACTACCATCAATTCATTGGTAGCCCTACTAAATATCAGGGCATAACCATGTTAAACTCTGCAGGAGGTAAATTACTCTCAGGCCCAATATCAAGCCTGAGGAGACCTATGCCTGCAGATAAACAATACCAGTAGAAATCTAAATTTGTCAGCTGATTATATTTCTCCAGTAGCATTATACTAAGGAGATTACAGCTGACTATACCAACAGAGGTTGATGTTAGTATCATCATTTAAAGCTGGAGATGAGTTCATGAGGCCTCAGTGGCAAATCAGTGAACAGTAGCCTAAAACAGCTACAAGTCACTGCGACCAATGTCACTGAACCCACTGCAGTCTCAGAACCATACTTTACTTTAATGATGAGCTATTCAATCTTCTGAATCAATTAACTAAATTAAACCCCAATAAATCTGATGACTGATTTGATACATTTATTATTTAATCAAGATGTATTCCATGGGCCTCAGTGTTTATATATCAGTGACCAGTTACCTGAAGAAACTTCAAGTTATATCTAAGGTCCTGATCTCACTGCAGTCCCTGAATCATACTTGACTGTAGTACTTGATCACATCCAGTCTTCTGGGTTAAATAATATGTAATAAGGCTTGAATATTAGCCTTTCAAGAGTTAACAGGGAAATGAAATCGCATTAGACTTCTAACCCCTGCAACTCTAGTACGGGACATCCGTCCTGTACGAACAGACACACAAATGTGTGATTACTAACTATAATTCGAAGGAGGAGTATCGGTGTTCGTCTGTTCTAAATAGGACTTCGACCCGTGAGCAGCCCCCTGGGGAATTATGTCGGAAAATCCGACACCATTTAATATCATACAGACAGATAATAAGTGCTGCTGTATTACCAACAAGTTACCCATAGAAAACGTAACTTGTAGTGGAATTACCGTCTATAGAAAACGGGATATCATCACCACATACTATAATAATTCACCAGCTATTCTGCTGGGAATATTCTTAAATACATAAGTCTTTGGACTTTACCATCATAAAAACATCTTATATAAATTAACTTAATTATCAATATTAAAGTAGAGTAAATGTGACCCTTCTATCACGTTCTGAAATCTGGACAATGTAAGCCAGGCGTCAGAGTGGAGGAAGGAGGGCAGCCATTGTTGTTGTTTGAGACCAGAGGCTCACACGGGAGCAAATTCGGCTCCTGTTAAATTTACTTGGACGTAGTGTTATGGAACCCAAAGGTGTACCATTGTCAACACGCTGTCTACAAATACAAGTTAAGTGTCTATCCGAAACCCGTTTATCATTCATTTATGGCCATTAATGTCAGGATATAGGGTTAGCCGGTTAGAACGCGAAATCGCCTCATACTAAAGGTAATTAAGCCAGGTCCTCATGTTCCATGTACTGTTTTCTCTGATATACTTGTCATATATAGGATTCTGGCTTCACAGCTAGCGCACTTTTGACAGGTCAAGACGAGGATGCAAGATTATGTGCACCAGTTACTGGGTGATAGAAGCTACCTCAAAGAGGATAATTTGGTGTCTACACTCTAGTTATACCTGGTGGACTAGCCTGCTGTACTATAAGAGAAGGAACCTCATCAATGTATGTAGCTATTACTGTAATTTGATTGGCTGCATATGTGTAATATAAACCCCCCCTAATGTGTAGAGGATCGATTTGTGAGATTGTGAGATTATTGCAGAAATACAGTCCACTTATCATTATACAAATTGCTATCGAAGTATATAAATTAACGTAAATATAAACTCATATAAATTAAATAAATATAAATCTCACAGGTCGGTTCCCACAAGCTCACAGGAAGGCCCCACTAACAGCAGTCAGCAGCGCGTGAAGGCTGAATAATTAATTACACGAATAACAGAACAACGTCATCGTGGTGCTGCTTCCTCTCCTGTTTTGTGTCATCCAAGGTGACACCTTCCCCAGGCCGACCCCCACAACCCCAGCCTGGCTGTCTTCCCCAGGCCGACCCCCACAACCCCAGCCTGGCTGTCTTCCCAGACCGACCCCACAACCCCAGCCTGGCTGTCTTCCCAGACCGACCCCACAACCCCAGCCTGGCTGTCTTCCCAGACCGACCCCACAACCCCAGCCTGGCTGTCTTCCCAGACCTACCCCACAACCCCAGCCTGGCTGTCTTCCCAGACCGACCCCACAACCCCAGCCTGGCTGTCTTCCCAGACCGACCCACAAACCCCAGCCTGGCTGTCTTCCCAGACCGACCCCACAACCCCAGCCTGGCTGTCTTCCCAGACCGACCCCACAACCCCAGCCTGGCTGTCCTCCCCAGACCGACCCCACAACCCCAGCCTGGCTGTCTTCCCAGACCGACCCCACAACCCCAGCCTGGCTGTCTTCCCAGACCGACCCCACAACCCCAGCCTGGCTGTCTTCCCAGACCGACCCCCACAACCCCAGCCTGGCTGTCTTCCCAGACCGACCCCACAACCCCAGCCTGGCTGTCTTCCCAGACCGACCCCACAACCCCAGCCTGGCTGTCTTCCCAGACCGACCCCACAACCCCAGCCTGGCTGTCTACAGTTCTTCCACCGCTTTATGTACTGTCCGCGTATTATTTAATTCCTAAACCCCTGCCCTTGACGCGCATAATGATGACCCACACACCCATACCATTCATGTCTATTGTGCATGACATTCATGCATGACATGAATGAACTAAGGGGCATGACAGGGATTCCAGGAACGTCTTGAATATTATTTAAAAAAAAAGAAGAATTTTGACTAGATAAATGAAATGTTAATTGTTCTCCTATTTATAATGAAATATTTATATAAATAACGTTTCTGACAATAAAATCTTTAAGAACTCTTTCCTCCGTTTTATAAGCCGTGGAAAAGACATTCCTATGCGTCAGACCATAATAGAGTGTGAAAATGAACTTTGGAGAGTTAATTTTTCAACTTCCTGCTTTAGTGAAGAAAAACATAAGGAATGTCGAGAAGATTCTTGCAAGAATCATAAATCTAAAACTTTCTGTCGTTTTCAAGAAAATATGTTTAAAACAAAGACTGCTACCAATTTATATATATATATATATATATATATATATATATATATATATATATATATATATATATAATATATATTATATATATATATATATATTATGTATGAGTTAATTTCTTTAATTGAGTTAAAACTAATGTAGATATATGACCGAACCTAACCAACCCTACCTAAACTAACATAACTAAGTCAATAAATTATTTTCTTAACAAATTATAATAATAATATTTCAAAAAACAATTGGAAACAATATTTTGTAAAAAAGAAAAGAAAATAACTCGGCCTATTAGGCAAATCGGGCCTTGCATAGTAGGCCGAGAAGTGCGTTCTGGCTACTAGGTACGATATATATATATATATATATATATATATATATATATATATATATATATATATATATATATATATATATATATATATATATATATATATATATTTCATTGAATATGACCGCATATTCTGTATTTATTATTTTCTGGTTTAGGGCTTCTATCCCTCTAACTATTTTCTTAGCATCAGGGCTTAATTGGAATAGGAGTTCTCCAAAACTCATTTTCGTACTTTTAAGGTGAAGAAAAGAAGTGATTTACTATAGAGTGTATTACACTTATTTGTATAATTTGCACGACGTTTCGAACCTCCATGGTTCATTCTCAAGTGAACAGATCTTACAATACTAGTTGATTTTATACCCGCATTAGGTCAGGTGATAATACAATGAAGGTGAAAAACATGGGGGGATACATAAGGGATAAACATAGGGGCTGCAGAAGGCTTATTGGCCCATACGAGGCATCTCCTATCTAAACACAAAGATTAATCCAGTGTAAATGGCCTGTTATGTTGGACATTGTCTTCTGTGTTGGCATCGATATGTTCTTGTGATGTAAGAAAATAGTTAGAGGGATAGAAGCCCTAAACCAGAAAATAATAAATACAGAATATGCGGTCATATTCAATGAAACATGTTTGAAAGAAAACCTGCTGCCAGTATACACCAATATATATATATATATATATATATATATATATATATATATATATATATATATATATATATATATATATATATATTTAAACACGCGGAAAAAAACATTTTTTCTAGAAAAAAATATTAATGATCTGCTATGGTGTATTGGTTAGTGTACTGGCTGGTTAGGTTAGGTTAAATTCTCTCATAGAGGAAGAGAGTTCTATAGAGTCTGTGTCTATGTGTCTGTGTGTGTGAAGAGAGTCTGTGTTATATATAAAGTGAAGCTTTGAGGTGAGTGTAGGTATCTGCTACAGGTGACTGGACGGCTCGCACCTGCGGCAGGCTGCCTAATGGGGTACAGGACGGGGACTGCCAGACCAACAAAGACGTCACTGTCTGCTACAACACGCAGGACTTTTCCAACCTGCAAGTCGGCAACGGGGCTCCTTTACCAGGCGTCCAGTCACTGCTGGTGCTGTTGTCGGCGCTGGTGCCGGCGCTGGTGCCGGCGCTGGTGTCGGCGCTGGTGTCCGCCTTCACTCCCGCCTGCTGAGCACTCACATACGTAAGTCAGGTCAGTTATACACATTGTGTGTAGACTTCAGTAAGCAAATTGCTAAGAGTTCATGCTATATTTGAATAATGTATGGGTCACCATTCTGATGTTATGCAATATGTTTTGTCAATATTAATCTCACTGTTGTCATTGTAATCTGTAAGTTTTGATATTACGGCTGTACACATCTTGTATCCAGCCACGACATTAATGATATATATATATGTATGTTTAAATAGGGGCATGGCCTATATATATATATAAATATATATATATATATATGGTAAGGTAATGGGAAGACACACAAAACACAAGTAAATTTAACAATGAAATTTTAATTACTTAGAAAAGCAAGACATGAATAAAAATGGGCATAAAATGTAACAGACAAGTCAACAAACAAAACAATAAGAATAATCACTGGCAAATGAAAAGTTACGTAAGACAAGTGAATAATATAATGATGAAAAATCTTCTAAATCTAAATCATTAGGATTTTTCCGAGCTTAATAAACTGTTTCTGTTTAATATTGCTTTGATAGCTTTAAGAAGCTCAACAGTGTTGCAACAACTTACTTGATAGTCTTCTAACTCTCACCCATCTTGTCACGGCTCCAAAAGTTATCTAAACTCACCTCGGTTCTTCATCTTTGATTAATCTCTATTCTGTTGTTACCTGTACAGGAGCGTGCTAGTGTGACGTCTCACCGCCTCAAGCTGGACCTGAAATCCGCCCTGTGTATCACCGCGTGTTTATAGCTTTAATAAAGACAAATATTTCACCCACCACCATCACCGTGTTCATAATGTCCTGCCTCACCATGCGCATCCCCTTCCTCTCATTTTATTTCTTGGCGGGAGCCCCCCCCCCCCCCCCCCGCTCCAAGAGGGGGAAGGGCGGCAAAAGGGAAGTATTAAATTTAAGTATTAATTTAACATTTAAGTATTAATGGTTATAATGGCATTTGTTGCACAGAAGCGCCTTGCTGGCTCTGTTCACTCAGTTCAAGTGGACTGTCTGGAATTTGGCAGCCAATGAGTACTGATTGCACGGCCTGAATTGCGCAGACTCATATTAATAATATGCAAGGTCTCATAATCCAGCTCTATCACCCAGAAGGAATCTCATTGTAACCTTGGAAAGAGTCTTGAAGCACAAACTCGACAATACCGCGACTCTTACACACACACTGAGAACAGTGCGGCACAGGAGTAAGATCACCACAAACTTGTTCGTGAAGATGTCTTCCGAAACCCAACGAAAGCCTTGTAAGAGACCAATGTTGTCTGTATCTTTACTTGTCCATTGAGTTACTGTTGGTCCCAACGGTGTATGAGGCACTACGACAACCTCTCTTCCAAGGCACCTTACCATTCACAAAAAGACAAAGTTCCACTAAAAAATCACATTATTTTTTTACACACAACTAGACATCACCAAAAATGTTCTGACCAGCAACGCCGAGATAAACGAGATGTGACGGCCACAGGTGATTAAATATAACAGAAGCACTTTACATGAAACACCCGTCATCCCATTACCAACAGCCAGGCAACACCGAGGTACGACCCAAGTTCTACAAGTTCAAGAGAATACTACTGGTTTACATCACATATTCCACCTGGGCCGACAAATGAGGCTTGTGGACAGGATGGCCCGGTCCCGCCAACAGTTCAAATTCAAAAATTCAAATTCAAATTCAAATGTTTATTCGGGTAAAGTACATACATACAAGGTGTGATACAAATATTGATGAATTTATAGATAGAGCTAGTACATACAATGCCTAAAGCCAGTATTACGCAAAGCGTTTCGGGCAGGAAAACAACCTCACTTCTCATGACACCCACACATCATTTATATATATATATATATATATATATATATATATATATATATATATATATATATATATATATATATATATATATATATATATATATATATATTGCTATGCATCACTTGCTCTTTTCCACTTTTCCATTCACTTTGCCGGTGCCTCTGAGGATGCCAAGCTGTACCTCAGCCAAACACATCAGGTCCATTAAAAGTGTAAAACGAACTTTAGAGAGATATTGTTTCAACTTCCTCCCCAAGTGAATAATATAACAAATATATTGAAGACTTACTAGAATAACTGATTTAACCCTTTCGGTCAAAATAACATATTAGTTATACAAAAAGTTTTTTGTATTTACGTTTTTTTGTATAATATATATATATATATATATATATATATATATATATATATATATATATATATATATATATATATATATATATATATAACCAACAAAAACTCTTCCCCCTATGAAGGAATCGAACTACTGGCTAGTCAGTAGCCAGACGCCCCCCCCCCCACTCTCGTGGGGGGTCACCATCCCTGTGTGGGGGACAGTCACCATTCCTGTCACGTGGGGGAACAGTCACCATCCCTGTCACGTGGGGGGACAGTCACTATCCCTGTCACGTGGGGGGACAGTCACTATCCCTGTCACGTGGGGGGACAGTCACAGTCACCATCCCTGTCTCGTGGGGGGACAGTCACCATCCCTGTCACGTGGGGGGACAGTCACCATTTTCACGTGGGGGGACAGTTTACGGATATACTATATCATATAGTACTATCCCTGTCTCGTGGGGGACAGTACTATACGTGGGGGGATATATATATACAGTATATATCATATGGGGGGACAGTATCCCTGTCACGTGGGGGGACAGTACTATATAGTCACCATCCCTGTCACGTATCCATATATATATATATATATATATATATATATATATATATATATATATATATTATATTCCCAATATACCTGTGCGTCACCTACAGTATTGTGTTGTCAAGGCCACTTGTGTATGCTCTTTCCGCTTTCATGGACATTAATATTGCCTGACGGCCTTAATCAATTGCAGAAACCCTTTTATGCATGGCATGGGGCATTTATCACACTGAAATGGTTGAAAATTTTTCTTTAACCATGTTCGAAATAAACATGGCAGAAATAAACAAAAGCTAGATCAAGATTTAGGAAGTTCGTATGGTCGTTGAAGGAATATTTTTTCCCTTTGCAGTTACGTAGCATGATGTTGACCAAACCACACACCAGAAGATGAAGAGACGACGACGTTTCGGTTCTTCCCGGACCATTATCAAGTCGACCATTACCAAAATCGACTTGATAATGGTCCAGGACGGACCGAAACGTCGTCGTCTCTTCAATTTCTAATGTGTTGTTTGGTCAACATTTTTCAGCCACGTTATTGTGACTCCTCGTCTGCGTAGCATGATGTACATGCATGCCCCAAGTTTGGTAATTCTAGATTTATTGTGTTCGATGTTTTGTTGATCCGCACACTCCCGACCTGCACTTCTCTAAGTGCAGGTCGTCTAAATCCCCCCTCGTCTCTTAATACAAATAACTGAAAACGGAATAAATATAATTCTTCCTACCGAGGATCAGGCCCCACCAAAGTCAGGACCCTACTACTTCAGGGGCCCCATCGATCAGGGCCTCCTCCGAGGTCAGGGGCCCCCACTGAGGTCCAGGCTTCCCCACCGAGGACCGAACACCACCAAGCTAGGCCTGGCATCAGTGCCTCGATGGGTTTGTATATCACCATACTAATGTAAAGCAGACCAACACCTGGACACTCACTTGTGCATTACGTCTTGTACTGCGTTATCTGCTTAGAGATTAAACTATACATACGGTGCACGAAATGGCAATTTAAATTCCTTTTTAGCTAACTAGATGGGGGTACCCGGGGGTCCCCTCCTCCCACCACACCAGTGTCACCTATACTTTCCCTACGGCCAAAATCCGATGAACTAAAACTAATAGCGGCTCCCGAAGTTAACGTGATGTATCCCGTTTTCTGTTCGAGGGTCCCCCGGGTAGGGAAGCTTAGGGCAATTTTAGTACATCAGTTTAGTGACGTTCTGAACGCTCTGGAGAACGGCGAGTATAAACAGTCATTACACAGTGCATGTTATGTTTCTATATATGATTAACATTAAAATCTTTACAGACATTTTGTAAAAAACGTCAAACAACATCCACAGGAGTCTTTTGTGCCTTCTGCAATCCTTTTCTGCTAACACTCACGGGATGAGTGTAGGGTGCACAATAAACTACCGCTCACAGGAGAAGTATGGGGTGCACAATAAACTATGGGGTGCACATTAATAATAATAATTAGACCTCACGAAAAGAGATTGCCTTATCATCCCTTATCGACTGATTAAGGACTGACAAACTTACCAGTTTGTAATGTTATTGAAGAACACACACTTCTGAGAAGGATGAAGAGTGTAAATAGGGTTCACTAGTATCGACCTACCCTGGCTTTGCTCCCTGGAGAGGCCACTCCAGACCGACAACCAGACCGCAACTCCATAGTTTCCTGAGACTGATGGATGCCTACTACTACTACCATTGCTATATTTTGAATTACATTTATGGAATAAGGGGGTATCAAAATCTTTTCAGTGCTTAGGGCTTCTGAAGGTCTTAATCCGGCCCTGAATCTGTGATTGTCTGCTGCTATTTGAATTCCTTTGTAAATACAACTTTTAACCAGTTACAAAATGGTTACGTTTGGTTTTTGCTGCATACATAACCAACTAGATGAGGTACCTTGTTGTGTCAGGGTCTCTTCTCCTATTCCCTCTCCTACTCTTCCTCTCTCCCTTTTAATCTTTCCCTTCTCTCACCTCTCTTCCGCTATCTTCCATTCTCCCACTCTCTACACCTTTCTTGCCCCTAATTTCAACGGCATCTCCCAATCTTCCCTATCTCACCTCTTGTCCTCTGTCCCCCTCTCTGCTCCCCCATCTTCTGTCTCCTCTGTTTCTCCAACATCTTATCTCCACCATTCCCCCCCCCCTCTCCGCAACTCCGTTCCTCTCCTTTACCAGAAAATATAATATTAATTAGTGATGAAAAACTGCTGGAACTCTACGGAAAACAAATCCACAACATCAGACTGTATGGAATCGCAGCGGTCGCTATAAATGCTGATACCTTTAATGGGTGGGCCTGCCGATCCCGACTGGCATATGATACTCCCATACCCCTCATGAGTCATCTCGGAAAGTTGGATGAGACTAACCACAAACGTCTGGTTTTCTACTTTAGACAGACAAACCAACAGACAGACATTTTTCTCTTATAGATGCAGTGTATAGAAGGCTGGTCCTATATGTGTGGTCGCGTCGCTCATATCAGTGACAAAGGGAGGAAGGGGGGGGGGTAGAAATAGCCTAAGCTACTCTATCCCTTTGAGATGTATTTCTTTCTTGTCTCAATAAACATACTTCAACTTGAAGGGAGGAAGTGAGTCCTGACTCTTTAGGCTCCATTATAATTTAACTAGTGTCAGTAGTTTTTGTATTTTTTCAATTTATATTCACTAAATTTAATATACGCCACCCCCATCTCATGTAGATCTATTGTAAGAGTAGTGTCGTTCATTGCTTATTCCCAAAAACTCGATACAAAATATCGTCAGCTTCTGCTTTGTAGCATTTTTTTTTCAGATTCTGAAGGCTATATATAATATTTATAAAAACTCTTCAAGCAACATCTTGGGAAACCCCTTAGGAAGACGCGAGGCTCCTCACTGTAGTGAGACCACTTTACAGACGTGTAAAACCCTGAATGCTGTTTTTTACGAAGAAAATAATACGTGTATTTTCAAGCTACACATTATCATTAGTCTCGCTAGCATGTGCTTCACAACACAAGACGTTGGATAAAGATGCCTGTCGCTTTTTACCTAAAGCACCACAGTTTTATCGTTATCGAACACAGCCTCTGTTCACCCAGCAGTAAATGGGGGCGTTAAACGATTTAGATGGTCGTATTCCAGGGGGGAAAACCTTAGGACTAAGGACCTGCCCGAAACGCTATGCGTGCTAGTGGCTTTACAAGAATGTAAGGACGCTTGTATATATAAAAGTAAATAATTAATAAATAAAATAAATAAATATATGCGGACAGCACAAAACATGCACTGGACAATGTGACATTAATAAATGTGACAATAATAAATGTGACAATAATAAATGTGACCAGTAATTGGTAATGAATTAGGTTGTAATATCTGTGACAAGTGTTTGCAGTTAATGTTTACCCCCAATGGTGAACATTCTAAATGTAAACTATGCCAACAAGAACTAGACGATGCGAGAGAGAGAGAGAGAGAGAGAGAGAGAGAGAGAGAGAGAGAGAGAGAGAGAGAGAGAGAGAGAGAGAGAGAGAGAGAGAGAGAGAGAGAGAGAGAGAGAGAGAGAGAGAGAGAGAGAGAGAGAGAGAGAGAGAGAGAGAGAGAGAGAGAGAGAGAGAGAGTGTGTGTGTGTGTACTCACCTAGTTGTGCTTGTGGGAGTTGAGCTCTGGCTCTTTGGTCCCGCCTCTCAACCGTCAATCAACTGGTGTACAGATTCCTGAGCCTACTGGGCTCTATCATATCTACATTTGAAACTGTGCATGGAGTCAGCCTCCACCACATCACTTCCTAATGCATTCCATTTACTAACTACTCTGACACTGAAAAAGTTCTTTCTAACGTCTCTGTGGCTCATTTGGGTACTCAGCTTCCACCTGTGTCCCCTTGTTCGCGTCCCACCAGTGTTGAATAGTTCATCCATGTTTACCCGGTCGATTCCCCTGAGGATTTTGTAGATTGTGATCATGTCCCCCCTTACTCTTCTGTCTTCCAGTGTCGTGAGGTGCATTTCCCGCAGCCTTTCCTCATAACTCATGCCTCTTAGTTCTGGGACTAGTCTAGTAGCATACCTTTGGACTTTTTCCCAGCTTCGTCTTGTGCTTGACAAGGTACGGGCTCCATGCTGGGGCCGCATACTCCAGGATTGGTCTTACATATGTGGTGTACAAGATTCTGAATGAATGTGTGTGTGTGTGTGTGTGTGTGTGTGTGTGTGTGTGTGTGTGTGTGTGTGTGTGTGTGTGTGTGTGTGTGTGTGTGTGTGTGTGTGTGTGTGTGTGTGTGTGTGAGGGGCGGGGGGAGAGAAATAAACATCTGAGGAGCGTCCAAATCAGTAATATATATATAAAAGATCTCCGGAAGCAAGGCAATAACGTCACACCTCGCAAAGATTATATATAAAAAAATCTGATAGGTTAGATTTGGAAAGATTAGGTTACATTAGGATAATTTTGTTTAAATAGTAACCATGACGTATACGATATATTTTTTAGTCATTTTTGAAGTGTTGAGGAAGGCGGCCTCGACGACCCGGCGGGGCGGCCGGCCAGTCCTCGCCCGCCGCCACAAGTGAGTACACGCTCCTCTCTCTCTCTCTCTCTCTCTACTCACCTCTTGTCCTGTTTTAGTCCTGCCTCGCGCTCCCTCTTGGTTAGTATTGAGTTTGGGAAGCATTTCGTGTTTGTTCATAGCGTGTCATTGTCTAATACGGGTGAAAATTGACTTTGTGAGGCTGGTGACCTTGGCGTGGGTTACTGCGTGTATGGGGAGCGGCTCCTGTGTCACGGTGACGAGGCGTTTGTCCGTTATATGGAGGTGGTGACACTGGTGAGGGCCACACCACCAGTGTCACCACCTGGTGGTGTGGCCCTGGGTGTGTGGGCACCAGCAGGTGGTCAGGTGTGACTGTTGCCATGGTTATGGGGTGTTGCTACGCGCCTGGCCATGGCTGCCAGCCCGACACATCCCGTTACCCAACTTGGCCGCCACGGCTTAAGTGTAGGACTAGGAATTGGTTAATGAACTTAAATTCGGTGTCTGGGGACAAGCAGGCAGAGTATTTATACACATTAGGCTTGTATAGAGGGGTAGGCCCCCCCCATTGTCAATTGACTTGCCCCCACTCCTCCCCCCCCCCCCCCTTTCCCAACAAGCACTCTAGATTGTACTTGGAGAACGAAGCAGACTGCTACCAGGACCCTCATAGTTTACCTAAAGACATAGCTTGGGTTGTATTAAGGCCTATAGCTTGGGTTGTATTAAGGCCTATAGCTTGGGTTGTATTAGGGCCTATAGCTTGGGTTGTATTAGGGCCCAGTTGGGCTGGGTTAAGTTTAACTAGGTTCGGTAGCTTTTGGAATCCGTTGACAAATAGGATTGTGTACCATGATGTATCCGTATACTGTACCTACTCTTAATTTAACTTTAATCTCTCAATTAGTTATAGATGGATACCACCTCCCTGCTTTTGTGATCTAGAATGACCTCTTAAGGCAATACAAAAGTTGCAAAGCACCTCTACATTACTGGCGAGATAAATTTTAATGTTGTAGGACAGTAGTCTGCCCGAGCTCGGCCAGTAACCGAGCATCCAGGGTTCAATTCATTAATGGGGCACATGCATTTTGCACATTTTTTAATTGCTATTTTGCCTTGGCATTGCTTCTAATCCTAATGGGTTTCAAACTATGGGCAAATATAAAGATGAACCATGTACTGTATTATGTGCAGTATTGTCTATTGACAAGAATGACTGCAGAAAATTCAAAGGTTGAAGCCAGGCCAATGTTGGTGGAAACCCTACATGGTGTGCCTGGTAAAGGAGGGGTTAAGTTTGCCACTGTACCTGCAACAATTGTTTATTAAACATTAACATTTAAATAGATATTTAGGCACTTCAACTTACGGTAACCATATGCTGTGGCCAGATAGACATTATACAGGTACTGCATGTGTAGGTTGAAAGATTAACTTGGCAACACTAACAATAGTGGCTAAATTTGTAATTGACTAGTAATTTAGTGGTTTAATAGCTTGTGTGGGGGGGGGGTTAGGAAAGTAGTTCTGCTAGACTACTAGTACATAGGTGTACTGTCTTGTTGCCAAATGATAGCCTATTATGGAACTGCAAAGTTACTGCTAGACTTTCCATATTTTGCAAGATCTTTACTTGGGTTAACTTGCCACTAAATATTTGCAATATTTAGGGTACTACTTTAAAGTTGATCTACTAGGTTATTGCTGGCCTACCTTTGACAGATAAAGCACTCTCATTCTTACATAAAACTAGTTTAATGGCAAATCTCGAATTTTTGTACACTAATCCTGTTAAATGCTGGTATATATGTAATGTTAGAGTATGTGTGCAGTGACTGAAAATGTAATTAAAAATCTTGATGTATTTGGGAAAAGTTTATTTGTATTACTATGCATGTGTATCTTAAACTGAATACAGTAATTTGTTGTATAAATTAAAATTTAGTGTTATAAATGTTTAATATTGCTTGGCATTGTTGGACTTGTACTGGTGTCCAGGAGGAAAGATTGTATAATTTATATGTAAGTTCTTACGGTCTTGTAAAGCCACTAGCACGTATAGCGTTTTGGGCAGGTCCTTGACCATATTTTTCCCTGAATAAGACTTGCCAAATAGTTTAACCAGGTACCCCATTCACTACTGTGTGAGCAGAGGCTACAGATAAAGATGGGTGCCCAGTCAATACTCCCAGGGTCAAAACTCTTGCGACGTGCCAGGCGCCACTGTTCACTGGGGACTGCACCAGTCCCAGTGGTGCTTGTGGCGAGTGCCCACAACCTCCCTCCATCCCCCTTCCCCTAAAATAGGAAATGTCAACACAACATTGCTGATTTAAAAATTGTGGATCACAATGCTGATCCCTAAATTTCAAATATAAATAATTTCCAATTCCTTTTCTGAAGGAATATGTGGTCCCATTGCATAATGCGCAGACAAAAACCTTCTGCTGGTTGGCCTTGCTTTGGGAATGTCAACAAGATTCAGTTTACCAATTCCTAAATGTTGTATACTATCCTTTTTACTATCACTATCTCATTAGTCAATGAATAGCTGCAGATATTCACTCAGTGATGCTATGTTGCAAATATTGCATTGCATGGCATTGATGTTAGGTACAGCAACTTGCACTACAGTTTACCCATGGTTGCTGTTGTTATTGAGGTTCTTGCACCCATGGTGGATGCACACAATTGGTTTTTGTACCTGTAAGTTTTAAATCCTGTACTAGGCCTAAAGACCCTAAATATGCCTAATAAAGGTTAAATGGGTGCTGCTGAGGTTGCTAGTGCCAAAGCTTTGGCAACTAGTAATCGGTATCTAGTGCCGAGGCCATTTTTAACAATATAGTACTGTAAAATACTTGCCAAAATATAGGTAACCTTGGTTGCAATGTTCTTGTAATATTTTCTACAATCTATGTAGACAGTTTATCTACTATACCCAGTTTTAAACACTATTGCAGAACATTCTTAGGGCTATACCTACAGGTTCATAATGGTGACTGGAATTCTCTAAATTTATTAGTTAGCAATTGTGACAGATAAGATAAATGGTTTTAAAGTGGTTTACCTGCATGCATCCTTACTGTAAAGATTTTTTTATATTGGTTCATTATAGGTAAATTTGAAATTTTGGGTTTCTTGCCATGGCTTTAACACTAGGCAAAAAGTAAGTTTAACCCATAACTACCAAAGTTGATAACTGGCAATCTTTACCATCATTAATACTGCTTTAAAATTGTCCAGTATTGGCTCAGTATTACCGACTTTGTATTTTCAGTTTTGATTAGTTAGCATAGTTGTGATTTTAATTTTGCTCTACAGGAAACGTAACCATGGCTGACCTGAATGCTTACATTGCTGCTCTGGAGAAGAAGCTGGCAGAGCTGTCTGGGATAGAAGTTGATCAGATCCACAAAAACCAGGTAATTTTTTGTAACTTCTCTTGAGACATTGCTAATGTAACTAGAACTTTCATGCCAAATATGCATTGATTTTTAAATTGCATTAGGAATAGTTTCTTGTTTAGAACTACTCTTAATTATTGGCTACTATTCTTGTGAACTGTGCTTAAAGGTTAAGTAACATAATAGTTGTGGGGCCTAATTGTTGCGAGTTATATTCTTGTGTGCACTTGAACAAAAAAAATCTTAACATTAATACCTGTACAGCTGTAGTAAAATATGGTTGTTAATCTAGCCCTATACAGTATACTGATGCCATTCTTAAAATTTTTTGTAAAGATTCATAAGGCTTGAATAAGAAGGTAGTTTGCCCTTTTGAAATTGTTAGGGATCGGTTAATTTCCAACGGGAAGAAACTTGCTTAAATAGCTTACTAGTGACTGGTTGCTTGGGCCTGCTAACTGTGAGGCCTTGTTCTATAACTGATGGTTGTGAAAGATTTAAAAATTAGTTTAGTCATTGAAGTATTTGGCCTCGGATTTGTAATGTGGCTTGTTAACTCCACAACGTGTCTTGTTAGAGGTGTTGAACATAATGTAATTAGTACCGTATAGTTTGCAAACAGTACAAAAGGGGTTGTAATATATTAAAGGGTTGTAATAAGAGTAAACTGCAGAAATGTCAGTAGATGGTAGCATAAACTATAAGTGGTTGAAACAAGAGCTAAAAGCCAGTTTGGTTCAGATTCATGTTCTGAAAAGTGTCTTTTGAAAGCCATAACCAGCAATACTCTTACTGGTTGTAGTTAAGGAAGTGGCAGATTGACTGAATAAATTTTATAATATGCCTTTGTTTTTCAGAATTATGAACCTATTTTGAACTACAATAACTAGGCATGAACCTTAAATGGATACCTTAGACTTGTAAGTCATTAGTATGGCATTTTGTGTAATTCTTTATTCTAAAAGAAATCCTGATTTCCAGTCTTGTTCAAAAACACCTTGGGGTCCCTCTTAGGGGAAGAGAAGCATATCAAACCGAGGGTTCACCCGAGGGCTTATGAGTCTCGTTTGTTGTCATGAGGGCTGCACAACTAATTGAAGTAGTTTAATAAAAATTATTGCAGAATTTTATTAAACATACAATGTGCATCCAAATGGTTTAGTGACTACCCACGTTCATGAATGCAAAGCAATAGTTTAATAGTTTTAAATGGCAACAAAGACTTCTATACAATAGCAACAAATACATTGTACAAATTACAACAGTTCAAAATTAACATTTAAGACTATTCATTTTGAGTTGTCCTAAGGTTTGACATTTTGTTTGGCTAAAATGTCTGTGCAGTTCCAACTTTGATCAGAAATGGTGTTGCTCAGTCAGCCTTGTTCTCGGATGTTTTTGTAGATTTCATGACTGAAAAATGTTCAAACATAGGTGAACCTTGCCATAATCCTTGTGGCAAACTTTTCAAGTCTTTAAGCTCTTCAGGAAGGTATGAAAAGAAACCAGGTATCCCCACTTAGATACTTTGCCGAGTGTAGAATCAGACTGCATATCTAATGGTTTTATCTGCAGGCTTTCTTCTGCCTTGGCAACATAAGTTGAATGGTGCAGAGAATGATGTAAAGTGATGTTTAAAAGATGAGAAATCACTTGCCTGAAACTCATTTGACAATTCAAAGCAACTGTCATACTTAGCATTAAGTACAGATTTGGTATTGGCAATGTTTTTCAGCTCTTTGCACTTACTGTGACTTCCATGAGCTTAGTTTTGTAATGAAGCTGTAATCATAAATTTTGTTTAAATGTATTAAAAGGTGACAGTTTAAATTATAAACTGCAGTTTTGGCTGTTAAATGACCAAATTAGTATCCTTTGTGTGGGCTGCAGGTGTGCTTGCAAAGGGCTGCATGCAACCTGCATTGACTTGCCTGCTTTAGTGCATAGGAAGAGGATGTGCTCCTGGCCTATTTTTTCCACGTTCCTTACAGGACAAGCAAGGAAGAGCACTGGTTGTGATTAGCAGCAATTGAATTGACAATCTTGTGGTTAATTAGCATTTTGCAGCTTAAAGGAAACAAATTTAACTTCATAATTTTTTTTCTCAGCTTGCCAATGCAGCAGATGAGGCTCGTGCCATTACTGAAATGGCGGAGTATGTGTCCAGCATTCAAGTACAGCAACCAGGTGTAGCAGAGGCAGGAGTAGTCAACCCACAGATTGCTGCAGTTTACGACTACATTAATGCTGAACTTGGTAAGTGTGCTGAACTTTACATCTGTTCTGTAAATATATTAGGCTAATTTTACACATCTTTCTACATTTGTACTGTCCAGGTTTTTCTTATCAAAGTGGACACGGGCTAATGGTGACAAGTGGGTCACTGGTATTAAATCTTGTATTGCGGGGGGAGGAATGATATCCAACCACTTGGACAGTTGGGATTGAACGCAGACCTGCATGAAGAGATTTGTTGCTGCCATCAGACTTTTTAGCAGCATTGCTGAAATCGGTGTTGCTCACAGCATTGTGGTACGTACTCCAACAGTAAATATACTTGGAGACAGTTTCTGCCATTGCCCCTGATTGGTGCAAGATGCAAAAGTATTAAACTGGCTTCCCAGTGAGGTTAGGGGGAATTTACTTCATTCTTGGTTACAAAAGTAGACTTGCAAAAACAGTGCAATGAGGATTGGACCTCTTAACACTTTGAGGTTCCACAGACTGAATATCTCGTCATTTATTTTTCTACTGAATGTGTTCCAACGACGCAATACTGAGTCACTCATTAAAATATTTTTTAAAAATTTAAATTTTATCAGATCAATCTTGTAGTGGTTTTAAAATAAGCGCCTTTTGATTGCACACAATTTGATACCAAAATCAAAGATATAACATGAAACTTGATGTCCAAACACTTGAAATATTATAAATAGGCCTATGGTCCGAATATTAAAATAATTGTTAAAATTCTATTTATTGTCCTATTATCTTGGGACTAGTTTTAAAATGCGCGCCGTTTTATTGCGAACAATTTGATACCAAAATGAAAGATGTAACACAAATATTTATGTCAGAACACTGGAAAGATATAAATAAATTTGTGATGATGAGCGTCCAGAATTAAAATATTTGTTAAAAATCCAGTTATTGTTCTATTATTCTGGGACTAGTTTTAAAATACTCGCCTTTTTATTGCGAACAATTTGATACCAAAATGAGCGACCTAGCACGAAATTTGATGTTATCAAATTGAACGAGTTGAACATTAGGTTGCAATGTACAAAATGGTGCTCGTTCACGGGTAACTTTAGGCTTTTCTGCGGGGAGGTACTCCAGCCTTTTGTACATTTTATTCTTACACATCTGTAGGGAATTTAATTGCGAACACAATGATACCAAAACGAGCGACGTAGCACGAGAATTAAGGTAAAAAAATGGAAGGAGAATGCACATGTTACTGATTTTGTGCGTTTTTGCCGACTTTACGCTTTGCTGTTGGGAGTCACGCTAGGCTTTTGGACATTATATTTATACACAGCTGTAGAGAATTTAATTGCGAACACAATGATACCAAAACGAGCGACGTAGCGCGAGAATTAAGGTGAGAAAACTGGAATGAGTATACACATTTGGGTGTCACCGCGCGCTTACCCGCACGGAGGGGCCACGATCCCCCAGTCAACCGCGAGTTTCTACGGAGCGCGAAAGTGTTAAAATGCCAACACATGATTGAGTTTGACAAAACTTTCAAAGAAGCAGATTGTACTAAAGAACTGCAGGTTCTGATTTTAGGTATCTAATATATATAGTTTGAAGGACTGTTTGGCTAAAGTTCCTGCTTCTCCATTTGGAATTAACCCTGTTAACTGAACACTAAAGGGTATACTGTACAATGTTTAAAATGGGCCACGATATTTGTAGCAAATTGGTCCATCTTCCACTGGTTGTCATTTGTGACACGAATAAGCAAATGGATATAAATGTTACCTTTTACAGAGGGTATCTAAGGGGCCCAGATGGTGACACTAATTGTTTATTGGTTCTCTAAACATTTTCTTAGTGTTGCTGTAAATTTGACAAAGCTTGTAAATTAACTTCCTAGTGCATAGATTCGGAATCTGATGCAAGTTTGCATGCTTTAAATGTTCTTTTTAAGCCTTTTTAAAATCTCTCATTTTAAAACAAAATGGGAATGTACATTATTTTTAGGCACTTGGATACTGTTGGCAGGTAATTTTCAAAATTGGGGAAATTATTCTAGTGTCTCAACCAAGGTTCTACTAGAACATTAGTGTACAGATATGGATTTGTTGAAGTTTATAGTGTATTATTGTGTGTGTGTGGGGGGGGGGTGTCCTGGAGACCTTGAAAATATTAGAGGGTTAAGAATAAACAAAGTTGAAATGGTTGTCTAGTGATAAGATAATTGGCAGAGGTGATCTCTGGATGGTCCCCTGATAAGCTATCCCCCACACCGCTCTTAATATTATCAAATTTTTAGGATGTAGTTTTAGCCAGTGGAATGTTTAGTCGGTGGATGTTTTATCATTAAACGCTTGTTAATTAGGGTGTAATGGAAATAACACTTAAAGTTTAGTTAATGATTTTGGATATTTACTCTATTTTTTTTTCATCTATAAAACTGCAATAGAGTAGCACCAGTGTTTTCTAGATAATGTTTAGTATTTATAAATAAGAGTTGTACATTACATATTTGCAGACTGCTTCCACTTTGCTTTGTCCCTTGCCTGAGTTGGTTTCTTACCATTACTGGCATACCTTTCTGGCATTCCTTTGACCTTTTTTGCTGAAGCCTTTGGTCAGGCTGCAATATTCAAATTGGTTGTCATTCTTTATCTGAATTAGAGGGCCAAATTAAAGTAAATACTTTGACAATTTCCTAATGTAAATTATTTCTGATTCAGAATGGGGAAAATTTTTGTTTGAAATGAATTGCCCTATATACTGTACTTGAGGAAAAGTTTCAAAAATGCAACTTCAATAAGGTTGCAAGTAAAAGATCCCTGATTGGGAAGTATGAGCAGATAAATTGATTTAAGTGGCATGCTTTTAAAAGCATCCAAACTTTTGTATTACATTGTACCCCATCCTCCTGTTTGGTACGTATTGTGACTCGTGAATAGTCACGAATTTGTACGTACTTTGCTTTTATATGGTAGTACTGTATACTGACTAGTAAGAATTCTTTTAAAATAAATAAAGGTAAAGAAACTAGAGTATTCAAAGGGCCTAGTATATCATGTATTAGGCCCAGGAAGGTTAGGTTAGTTTAGTTTGTCAAAGAAAAAAAGTAAATTTTTTTTCCCAGTTTGTCAAACTTGATACTGTAGTTCAGATTTTTCAAATTTCGTTGTACGTCTGTATACAGTATATACTATGGTGGTCATAGTTACTATATGTAATACTAAAACAGGAGGATGGGCTGTACATTGTGATTTGAACAGCAGTTTAAATTCAAAATTGAATAGATTGACTTGCTAGAGTAATTATAAAAGTTTTTCTACCAAGTTGGTAGTGCATATTAACTTAAAAGGCAGAGAAAGAGTAATGCGAGTAAACCAATTGGGGAATGTACAGTACATTAGCGGGGCTAATGCTTACCTTTGCTACAGTAGTTACAGGCTGTAGAGGCAAATTAATGGGGCACCTTTGTACAAGATGTGTAATAAACTTGGTGGGTTTTACACTTGTGCTAGATTTCTTGTGAAGTGAAGCATTGGTAACCAGATTATTTATAATAGTTTATCAATTAATGTACCCTTTAAAATAGATGCAATGTGACTGTTGCAGGTGAGGCTAGAGGAGCCCATTCTCTGCCACCACTAAAATACGAGTATTCGGCACTGGAACCTCACATTTCTGCATTGATAATGGAGATCCATCACCAAAAACATCACAATGCTTATATCACAAACCTTAAGGCTTGTACTGAAAAAGTAAGTGCTTGATGTGGTAGTTTGGAGTGCATCCAAACCAGGGTATGTTGGGTCTCTTGCTCAAATATAATTTCTAAATTGTAATTTTAAAGTTAGCACAACTGTAGATTTGTATAATGGTGCATGTAAAGTCTTGCCAAGACTTTCACTGAAGATGTAAGTCTTGGAAACGAGCATCTTGCATTCCCCTGATGGGGTGAATTGCCTTGCCTCTCCCCTTCCCCTCCTACACTTCTTGGGGCAACCTAAAAGTCCTCCCACACTTTTATAAACATTTCTAAAGAGTAGTGCATAGTTCATATAAAAGGTGACTGGCCACCCTTTTGAACCTTTTTGGCATCTTAAATTGTTCATTAATCTTAAGTTGGCTGATTTGTGGGTACAACCATTTATAGGCTGAGCAGTAGTTACTAAAATGTCTGAATTGGGCACTTAAGTTGGGGGGGGGGTGGGTGTTAAGCAAATACCAAATCTGCTTCCTGGGTCACTACTCAAAAGGACAGCATTTGGAAAAGTCTTGCCAACTTTGGCATAAATTAATTTGTACTGTACAACCTATAAATGCCTCTTGGGATACAATTGGAGGCAGTATTCATCGTTTAATGAACTAGTTCCTAGTTATACTTCTATATATAAAAATGGAAACTTTTTATTGTACAGTAAAAAGTTTAGCAAATGTTACATTTGACGGACCATAATTTCAAAGTTAGAATAATAAGGTAAAACTCAATGTTGGCATTTTAAACACTCCTCCTTGAGACTCCTAAAGAGATTAAAATTTTAGGTAGTGCTAATAAACACGAAAGTTGTAGATAACATGGTTTTATGGAACAAATTATTGGGTAATGCTAGTTGAAAGATTACTGGATTTGTGTAGGTAAGACTTGTAAACTTAGGGTGGCTAAAAATTGGCTGCCTCACAACCCAATAAGCATTCTGCAATTGTTTGGTTTCTAGGGTGAAAATCGTCTAGGCGAGTCGAGGCTTTATAGAAATGTGTAAAGGGGCCTTTCCTAAGATTATTGAAGAGGAAAGGAAAATTTATTTTCTTGGTTTACTCTTGAAATTGTGTACATGTATACATTTATGCAATTAACAAATGTATAGCTAGTTTCACAAGATTACTTGCAAAGTATTTGTTCACTGCTTGAACATAATAATTGAATCGACAATATGCAGACCATATTTTTTATTACAACGATGATTCACTCATTTTATTGTATAAATATATCACACTAAACACTATTGAATATTACAGCAAAAAAATATGAAAAAAATCAATCGGACATTGAAATAATTAGGTAAGTATCTCTTTGTGGCTGAAATAATTAGGTAAGTATCTCTTTGTGGCCACTCCTGCCTGACGGCTGGCGAGCAACGGACAGTCTAGGACGCACGCTGAGTCGGAGCTTGTTTTTTTGCCAGACTTCCCCACCCTATAGCAGGCAGTATATGCCACTTACTATTTTTTTTATCATTTTTCCCATGATCAGAGAACACAAATTAACAGGTTTAGAAGAATTTTTTATGTGCCTGTGGGTGACACATACTAAATAGCCCAGAGCCACACAAGGGTTAATGCATGCTAGATAATTCTTATTTGGGTCTTAATGGACAGTGGTTAAAAGGCAAAGTAACTACTGCCTATCTTGGCTAATAATTTTTTTTTTTTGTTTTTTTTAGCTGAAACAGGCTGAAGAAGCAAATGATGTTGGAGCCATGAATGCCCTGTTACCAGCTATAAAGTTCAATGGTGGCGGGCATCTTAATCACACCATCTTCTGGACGAACATGGCTCCTGATGCTGGCGGCGAGCCCTCTGGTCCCATTGCTGATGCCATCAATGAAGAGTTTGGCTCTTTCCAGAACTTCAAGGTTGGAATTAGTGCTACATTTTTCATTGTACTGTGCTTGGAATCTAGTTCTTTCATTAGTGAGCAAAATGGAAAGTACCAGTTTATTTATAAACATGTACTTAAGAATTAAGAATTTTCATGAATAAGCTTCACAAATAGAATTCAAACTTGTAGAAAACTGACAGCATTTTGGAGTGGGGGGGGGGTGGGGTTAGATAATGATGGAGCCAGTTTCCAAGCGGCTTGTTAAAATTTAGGCCTAATTAGCGAGTTCACAAAATTAAATTATAAACACTGTTAAGTGGTTAAATGTCTTTAAAAACTTGGTATATTTAAGTGTTTTCTTTATTCAGGACAAGTTCTCTGCAGCCAGTGTAGGAGTAAAGGGATCAGGATGGGGCTGGTTGGGCTACTGCTCAAAGAATGACAAACTAGCTGTGGCCACCTGCCAGAACCAGGATCCTCTCCAGCTTACATATGGTATGTTTGACTAATACAAATTTGTGTAATACTAGTAGGTAGATGGAAGAAACTCTAATGGTTGGCATGACTACCAGATAATTTGCTATTAAACTCGTTCACACATGACTTGTCTGGTACAGTGCACATCTGCATGAATAAAAGCCACTCTGGAATTGGGCTAAATGTTCGGGAAGGTATGGCTTTATGCCAAACCACTAATTCCAACCTGTACATTAAGGTGTTGTACATGCTGTGAATGATTTAAAGTGTGCTCAGTGATGTCTCATTGACAGTATGGTGGTATTTGCTATGGATTTTCTATGCAAAGTACAGTATAGAATAAAAAATTGAAAAGTGGACTTAAAAGCTTGAAAGAAAGGAAACTTAAACTAGTAAAAACTGGTTTGAGCTTGAGAATCGGTTAATGATTTTAACAAATTGCCAAATGCTTGCATTTGTTAGACTGATAAAGTTGAGGTATAGATTGCGGAATAAATGTTTAGTCAAACTACTTTCACGTTGGCAGGTCCCACTTGTGAAGCTTTGCAGGTATTTGACCCATGTGATAAAGGTTTCAACCCCTCTTACTCTGAAATGCCTTTTCCTTGACCATTTTTCTTCTCATAGACGGGGTCCAAGTCTGCTAGTGGGTTTGGATACTAGTTTTTTTCTAGACCAAACCTGTGTTGCCTATCTCTGGAGGCTAACATCTTCATGGCCAAACTGTGTACCATCTTGTGTGCCCTTCATAGATTTTCATAATAAACACTCCTTTGTCAGTGATACTCTTGTAGTGCTCTTATGGCTAGTCATTTACTCCTGTACATTTTTTAGAAATCCAATATTGGCAATATTCAAACTAGCAGTTTTAAGTTTTGCTGGGTTCCCAGCCATACTGATTAACTTAACAGCATTGTCTGCTCGCTCATTTAAGGAGGCTATCTGCACTTGTTTTATTTATCAAAAAGGTACTCCTTATTCTGAATTCGTCATTCATTCCTCGATCTGTAATCATGTGCAGGGTTATTGGTCTTAATAGTAAGAAGCTGCATGCTCTTAAGGGTAGTGTCCCCTTGGTCTTCCACCATAACAGGTGGGAAACTGCTCTAACTTGCACTTAATGGAGTACTGCCCTGCTCCTTGTTAGAACTGAACAGACTTCTTAGTCAGTCATGCCTATCCCTGTTGAACGTCCCAACTTTAAAAATCATGAATCTTGCTTCCTGCCTATTCCTCGCCATAGTTTGCCCCTCTAGCATCCTTGGTGAATCGGATACCTTTGATATTGCTCTCCTTATTTGCTTTTCTTGTATTTGTATCCTTTATGTTGGTGCCTTTTTTTTTTTATATATAAATATCCTGAAAGTTTGGTGCCTAGTGATTTTCCCCTCTAGGGTAGAAGCAAAAATTTGGGACAATCTTGCAAAATCTTAATTGTTTAATTTTAATTACAATGTTGAAACTTCTTCCTGAATGTTGATGTGCTCATTTACAAAGCCAGCTAATTTCTTTAAATTTAAACTTTTTTTCTTTTCCAGGTCTGATACCCTTGCTTGGACTTGATGTCTGGGAACATGCCTACTATCTCCAGTACAAGAACCTACGTGCTGAGTATGTCAAGGCATTCTTTAATGTAATAAATTGGTCTAATGTGAATGAACGCTATGAAGCGGCCCGCAAATCTGCTGGACACTGACTAATTAACTTGCCTTCTGAATTGCCTAGGAACACTTTAGTTGCAGTTGCATCACATTTGTGAAGTTGACATTAAACTGCTCATCTGTTCATGTGGAAAGTTTATTGAAAGCCAGTAAATATGTTAGCACTGGCTGTTGTAACTAGGAAATTCCTTTTCGGTGGTTATAGGAAGCGAGTGCATTAAATATTCAGTGTATTGTACCTATTATAAAATAAACTTTATTTCCTGCAGTCATGGTTTTTAAGAACCTTTCACACTAGATACTATACCGATGATACTTTTTAAAACCCTACCGAGTAGTCCTGCTGCACAATGACAACCCCTTTCAAAGCTGGAGAGCGTGCAGAAATCCTGTACTGCTAGAATCAATCTGTAAAACATCTAAACTACTGGGACAGACTAAAGAGCCCCAAATCTGTATTCCCTTGAGTGCAGGCAGGAGAGATGCATAATGATTTACACATGGGAAAATAGAGGGGCTGGTCCCAAACCTGTACACACAAATATCACGAGACCAGAAGGCATGGCAGGATGTGCAGAACACCCCTGTTGAAAAGCAGAGGTGCACCAGGTACTGTGAGAGAACTATCAACATCAGAGGCCAGAGACTGTTCAACATGCTTTCACTACACAGAGATATAACTGGCCAGCACCTTGCAGTGTTAGAGATAACCGAGTAAGCGCCACCTCCAAAGGATACCTGACAAAGCTGTGAGCAGCTGGTTCAATGGCCTGGTTGACCAGTCCAGCGACCGGGCTGTGGGGACGCTAAGCTCCGGAAGCACCTAGAGGTAACCGCAAGGTAAGGTATGCTTTAGTAGTGACCTTAAATTGATTTAATGGAGAGTACAAAGTGCACTCCAAACACTAAAGGTAATATAGAAATTGCATATTTTAAAGCTGTAGTGACATCTGTGAGGAACTAGCCAGGTCAGGGCAAGTAAAACTGATATAGGCAAACAATTGCTAAAATGGTGGAAATTAATATTTAAAATCTAAGATTAGAAAACCTTTAAACTATTACAAAGGTAACAAAGCATTGTCACTCTTTACTGTCCTTATTACCACATTAAACAACATTTGGACACTTGTGCAGGGTGGGGAAGATGCCATGTAACAAGGCTTGTACTGACCAGTGTAAGATTGACTTAGTGGTGCCACAGTAATTGGCCAAATGCTTAAAGCCGGTAACGGTTTTTCAATCATACTCTGGGTTTGGTGGGTGCATGAGATGGACTTTGTTTAGGAAACGGGCTGCCTCACCATTTCATGGATTTCATCTTGTGGCAAGATGGCATATGTGACTGAACTAACATTGCTTCATCCACTAGTTTTCCCTCTGGACTTTGAATGTGCTAAGGAACCCAGACTGTCCTTTTGGATTATTGGACCACCCACCAGTGGGGTCACCTCATGAGGGACACTTGGAGGTAAGTTTTGGCCATTTGAGCTGGGGCTTTATGGACAAGTTTGTGCTGGTATTTAGTGTGTGATGCAGGATACCTGTTTCATACCACTGCTTTGGACAATGCACTTTTACTACAAATATCTACATTCTCCTTGTTGCTGTAGTAATGATATCCGATGACCATGGCCTCGTCTCTCCCTCTCGTAGAAGATGGCCATGCCCTCAAGGCTGGTCAGCTTGGAAGATCTGTTAACCCTCTCCTGAAAGGAGTAGTGGTATCTTCTGATCCACTTTATTGGAGGGAAGTTTTCCATGTATTTAGTGGCAATTGACTCGCTTTGGAACAATGCCTGTTACAACAGCCTTGTGCATCTCGCCACTGAAGCATTGTTGTAATTGAACTTGAACACTTGCCATTCCTGCACATACTTCTATTCTACAATTTGTTTGGTCCATCTGTGGGTAAAATATTGCCATTTATCTGGACACTACACCCCTGATGATTTTCATACATTACCATTTTGTCAATCAGTCCTCAGATCAAGTCTATTCCAACCAGCGGTTGACCCCCAAAGACACGTTAATAAATTTTAAAGCGCTGTTCATTCAAAACGGGAATTTTCTCAAATATAAATTAATATTATACGGTAATACATTGGGATATTGTACCTATATAGGCATAGGTTAGGTTAGGTGTTTAGGTTCTGTTGGGATTACTTGTAGTACGTGGGTGAAGCACTTAGTGTTACAGTTCGATCAAAATTCGTCAGTGAAGCACCTGTTCTAGAAGTGTTTGAACGTCATCAGTCGAGTCATGTGTAATCCGTTTTTCATTCATAAACAGGGTTTGGTGGGTGCATGGAATGGACTTTGGGTCATTGGTTTGGAGGACGGGCTGCATCCCAACCAATGACCCAAAAGTGAATCTGTGCACTCGCCAAACATCCTATATCCCATCCAATATCCTATTACAATAATTATTTATATTTGAGAAAATTCCTGTTTTGAATGAACAGCATGTTAAAATTTAGGAATGTGTTTGTGGGGTCGACCACTGGATGTAATTGACTTTGAGTCGAGGAAGGGTTGTGGGACGAGAATATTTGAATTAACCAACTGGTGTGGCACTTGACAGGGTAGTTATGTCCCCATTGTTACATTTGACCATATGAAAAACATTTGGATTTAAAAGTATTAATCTGTTGAGTATTTTAATGGTCTTGATGTGATCAATCCTATTATATTTGGTTCGGTAATGTGTTAGGCCTGAGGCTTTCAACCTTTCCTAGTATGAGTTGAATTGGTTTTGGTATGATTTTTGCATACTGACCCAATTGTGCAAGTTTAATATCAAGCAAGTGCATATGTCTTGTATAAAAAGTAATTACCATAAACAGGCATTGTGACCAATGCTTTATTTAGAAATCTGGTCAAAATAATTTTGTCCATGTACAATATTTAAAATTTCAGCCAAGTCAAAATTTGTACCCATTTGCTCAAAACAGCAAAGTATTTTTTTTTTTTTTAAGAAGTTAATGACAAACCATGGATAGGTATACATGACTTATCCAAGTATTATAAGTCATGTAAAATATGAATAACATTTGTAAGGAAAACAAAATTAAGTTTTAGGAAGTTTCAGGTTTAAGTTTTTTATCCTCAAGTAGAGAGAACTCTGGCAGCCTATTCTCGGCTAACACTCCTCCTGAATGTCATTGTCTTTACTCCTGGGAATTTTTTCATATCAACTGTAACATCTGCACTGTCCCCAACATCAGAGCCTTGCTCACGATGGGCTCCATCTCGCACCTCAATGTCATCCTCGGTCTCCCACTTGCGTCCTGTGTGATGAGTTTTGCTGGTTCCTTCATTAAACTGGCTGTAGAACCTCTCGCTATTAGTTTCACCTTCTTTGACTCTGCTCTCCCTGAAAGCCTTGCTTTCTCTGCCCCTCACATCCTTATCCTTGGAATAATCAGGGTCGAGATCCACTGAGTCACTCCTAGATTCTACAGATCCTTCTTTGGTATTCATCATGTCTCTTTGGGTATCAGAATTTTCCTTTTTTGACTGTGACTGGTATTTCTTGGGATCCCCTGAAGGCATGACAGGGCTAGGACTAGAGGATGATGTCTCTGCTCCTTCCTCACGGTCCTGGCGCATACGGCTGCTGAGTCGAGATTGACCCGGCCGATACAGTGCCATAGCTGGACGATCCTGCATTAATAAATTATTTTAATTAATACTTTTGGAGATTGAGTGGTACCAGAAAAACGTAAGATAAACGAAGGAATAATACAGTGAAATACAGTGAACATATACGGCATACATAGACGCAATAAAGCACCTAAATTATTGAATCGTCTCAAAGCTTTCCAAGTGTACTCACTAGAAAGGAGACGGGAGAGATATCAAATAATATACACATGGAAGATACTGGAGGGCCAGGTCCTAAATCTACACAGTAAAATAACAACATACTGGAGTGAACGATATGGAAGAAAATGCAGAATAGAACCAGTGAAGAGCAGGGGTGCTATAGGCACAATCAGAGAACACTGTATAAACATCAGAGGACCACGGTTGTTTAACATCCTCCCACCGAGTGTAAGAAATATTGCCAGAACAACTGTGGACACCTTCAAGAGAAAACTAGATCATTTTCTCCAAGGAGTGCCGGACCAAACAGGATGTGGTGGGTATGTGGGTCTGCAGGCCGCTCCAAGCAACAGCCTGGTGGACCAAACTCTCACTAGTCAAGCCTGGTCTTGGGCCAGGCTTTGGGAGTAGAACTCCCAGAACCCCATCAAGCTGGAGCAGTAGCTGGACCTGAGGGAATATGAAATGGAAGATGTATAGATGAAGTTCAGGCTTCCTAAAGGGCATGGTAGGAAAGCTAAGACATCCCCAGCCCCAATGGGACTGACCATGGCAAAAAGAGAGGCAGTTTTGGCATTTCAGACCAGACCCAACTCGGTCTGTTGGGTCTGGAAGGAAGCAAATGATTTCCATTCACCTTGAAAGGAAGCAAATGATACTTCTGCCAGTTAACCAGAAAGCCGAATCCCTGGTTAGCAGACAAGTCGCACGACTGGACCTGAATCGACCAGTTTTTGCTTAATCTGGTGAAGATCCTGGTTGCCAAATTCATACCAAATGACAAAGCTAATAAGTGGTAGGAGAGTTGCCCCATTCTGAAACCCAGTCAATCTCTGAACTTGCCAATAAACTTCCTGAAGCATCAGGGAAACAAGTCATAAATCACTCAAAACCATTTGGCAAACCTGGGAAAACATGATCATCCAGACAAGAAATATACCATTTGAGAACAGACAGGTCCAGAATGTAATGAGGCTCCCAAGCATCTTGTCTGGAAACTGAAAAAACATGGGACACACACTGCCATGAGGCACTGGTGAGCACATCCTTGTCCAACAAGTTGCAAATAACAGCAAATTAGAGGGGTAAGTGACTGAGCAGGATCCCAAGATGCCAGAGGGGAGGCTTAAATCTACTGAAGACCTCAAGACACCATTCACTACCCCATGGCATCTCGGGTTCATACCTACTAAGAAGTGCTCAGAAGTTCACCCACCATACCACCAAAGTCCAACACTGACAAACAGCACAAACCTGAGGGTGAAAGGAGTCCTAGACCCAACAGGCTGTGATAGGCAACAAGTGTGTGTCCATAGGTATCCAAGAACATCAACTCGCACTAAAAATCTGCACACAGCTGCATCAGGCAAGAATATAGACGAGATAACTATAATAGCTCACATTAACACAGACATGACCTTTCTCCACCCCCAAAAAAAGAAAGGGGGGGGGGGGGAGGGTGTGAGGAATACTAGTCACTTGTCTACAGATGAGTAGGAAAAATATCTTGGCTGAACAAACATCAACCCCAAAATCATTCACTTGGAGAGAGAAGGAGTATGCAACTACTAACATGGTCACTTACACGACAAGAGCACACCCTCAGCCCTAGTGCATGAAGCGACTGCACATGGGGCACAGCCAGGTGAGACGGCCACACAGGCACACAACCAGTGACACTCACTCCCCATCAACAGGCCTCTCAATGGGGAGCAAACCCATGCAGAGCCTGGAGGTCAGATGACTCGAGAGGAGTCGGCTAGTAGGAGGAGGAAGCCCGAACGTCACTTAAAAGATAACTCTAGGAAGGTAAGTGAAATGGCAGCCAGCCACCAGTGAAGATAGCCCTGACCCATAGTTGGAGTGAAGACAGCTGCTAGCTACACAGACTGTTAAAGGGCACAACAAAGAGCACCTTGCTTAGAAAACATAACTTTATCAGTGATACAGAATTCTGTAAGAACAAAAATGGTCGAGATCATTAATATATTGACAACTATACCTTTAACACGGGGCCCTAAGCCTATGGCTTGCCCACTAAGTGTTAATGGGGGGGGGGGAGGGCCTAATGATAACAGAAGTTACTATGAATGAGTGGAAAAATATTATACCATCTCTATGAAGTATATTGTTTTATGGATTAACTATATTGTTGAATCTTAAAGCCTACCTTATTTCTTATTCTTCTTTCCACTCGTGGATCTTTCTCCCTCTTCTTGCGAGCACTAGGCTTCTCTTCAGAATTTTCATCTCTTTCTTGAGGTTCCTTTCCTATGTGCTCCTGGTTAATGCCATCCTTGGAAAGCCTCTCCTCACTAACTTCCTGATCAGCCTCCCTGGTCTCAAAGACCTCCACTGGCAGTGTTGCTTCACTTATGTCTTCACTCACTTTATCTTCAACCATCTTGGGTTTTGCTTCCTTCTCTTGCTCATCTTTGCTTTTCTTTTCTTTATCTTTTTCCTCTTTAATCCTCTTCTCCCTTTCTCTCTCCTCTTTTCTGCGTCCCTCACTATAACGCTTTGATTTGGCCCCCTCAGGTTTGTTTACATGCAGTCTTTCCTCTTGCCATTCTTCTTTTACTTCCTCTCTATGTCTTGATCTCTCATCCTCCTTCACTTTTGCCTTTTCTTCATGTCTTCTTATCCTGAAAAGCAAAAGCATATCTCACTAAAAATAATTTTGTAAACTTGCCTGAACCCTATAAAAAAAATTACAAAACCAACCAAAACAACCCTGTCTAGAGGGCCACAGATTGCACCTCCTAGTCCAGTAGACTCAGCTGGAGGTCCAGATGTAGAGATCAATGAACAGTTAATAAGGCTAGTGTATACATGCTTGATCAAGCAGCCTTAATACTAAGATTGAAATCTGTTATGACCCAGTCATTAATTACACTAGACTACACTATTTAGTATTATCTAAATTTAACCCTTTAGATTCATATTTTCAACCTGTGCTAATATTAATTGCAATTATTGATAATGCAATGGTACCTTCAAGTAGCAGTGATATTACACTCAATGAAGTTGCATGCTTGTATTATAACATATAAACAATCTCCACTGTTTACTAGTGAGGCGAGGAAAGTTATGCATGTTTGTGCATACATGTGGGCCAGAGTTGTGCGCACAGGTAAAAAATGTGTTTGGATAGCATGATATTCCTTGTGGTGTCCGGGACTGTCAGAGGTGCCAACAGTAGAGACTACCTTGAACTTTAATTTGAAAATTAATAGAAGTATTATTACCAGATTCTTGGATTCATTATTATTAATGGCCTTGTTGGTCAGTTGGATGTAAAATTTATTCTTTGTTTTGACGAGTTATGTGTAGGGTTGGTCACTTTGAGTTGTTGTAGCTGATGGCAGAACCATGCTTCTTCCTCAGTTGGATTAAGACAGAGGTTGCTGTGCTGAGTTAAGTGTAGTTTTATTTTGTAGGCCAATTTTTATTGTCTGGTAAACCTTGATATAATGTTAATGTTTGTAGTAAATTAAACAGGGAGTGTGCTAAGCTCCCAGTGAAGTAAATATATTTCTTATAGAGTACCTATTGAACTTTACCTGTATAATATTAATTAAATATTCTCTACCAAAAAAAAGGCTTTAGCCAGTTAATTAAATTAATCAGTAACCCAGCGAGTTGGAGAGTTAATTTCCACATTATATCTGTTTTATGTTTTGTTTGTGAGTTCGGAAATACACAAGAATTGTTAAGTTTTTGGTGTAGTTTTTATTTCCATTTACTTCTGTTTGAGTTCTTTAAGAGGGATTGGATTGAACTGCTTTGTAAATACGAGCCATATTCGAAAGCTTTACTGTAAGTAAGTAAGTAAAAAAAAAAAAAAAAAGGAAATCTAGCCCACATATATAAATGATAAACCAACAGACTTGGGAAAGAACAATGCAATTATGCAATTATGAAATCACCACTAGGCGAGAAGTAAGGAATTATTAAGAGAAGGTGCCAAGCTGGGAAGATCATGTAGCACCACCACCACCAGACAAGAGTGTGAAGGCTTCACCACACCAAGAGTGTGGCAGGAAGCCACCTAGTAATGAGGTAAGATGTGATCATTATGTGCTCCTTGCTCCTTGGAAGAGGCAAGTCAATCATTATGTGCTACTTGGAAGAGGCAAGCCAATCATTATGTGCTCCTTGCTCCTTGGAAGAGGCAAGCCAATCATTATGTGCTCCTTGCTCCTTGGAAGAGGCAAGCCAATCATTAGAATGGTACTTGCTGCTGGTGCACAGAGATCATCAAATGAGCCTGGCACATTAAATATGCCCCTGCAGTCTCAGCACCATGAGCTGAAGGACACTACTGAGGAAACCTGCCCACAAATGTTCTTATTCTAACACCATGTAAAAGATGAAGGAAAATTCCTGTGTAGAACTGGGGACAACTTAAATTCAGTTTAAAAATTAAATATGAAGGAAACGTAGCCTAAGTGGGATAAAACTTAGTAAAAATATATATAGTTTACCTATCTTCTCTCTCCTTTTCCTTTTTCATTAGTCGTCCTTTTTCACGTTCTCTTTTTTGTCTGTCTTCTTCTAATCTCCTTTGGCGTTCTTTCTCATACCTGTCTTTCTCTCTTTCCTTCCTTGAAAGCCTCACATCTGAGCTGTAGTCATCCTTGATTCTTTCAGGTCGCAAAACCTGTGTTTTAAAAATAAAATCATAACTTGTACCGAAATCAAAATTTTCTTGCTTTATGCTATAACACAGAAAAGTGACACGCACTCTTTTTAATCAATGCAATTCTTCAATTTCAGAACAATATAATGTCTACTATAACAACATTTAAAATTATTTAAAAAATCTCCAGAAATTAGAATATCTATGACAACTGTCCGCACAAGAATACAATGTCGAGTGTAATGAATCACTACTTTCTCAGTGGTTGTTGAGTGGCTACCCAGAGCTCAGGCACTGATATAATGCTCTGGATGTGTGCTGTCTACTGAAGACCAAAACCAGAATCTGGTTTACTCAAAGAGGCGAGGTGAGCATGAACTGATCCAAGATTAACTTGATAATCCAAGATAACAAATGAGAATAAAAACAGGCAAAACAAAAACCACTTCTCTGACCAAAACAATTCAATGAAGAAAATGAGGTTTAATAATTTATAACGAGCAAATAATCCTAGCAAACACTCGCCTGGCCAGCACCAGATGGCAAAGGGTCCAGATTCTGTTCCTGGTCCCCAATAGCCACTTGTGGGCCTTGATGCCTGGTATGATCCCCAAGGCTTCATTATTGTTAGGTTGTAGCACTGGAAAGCTAATGAAGGGGTCCTCCCAGGAAAATCCAATAGGGATATTTGTTACTAATACCATTGAAAATATTAAAGGTCTTCATAATTAAATACCCTTTGAAGATGGATACTTAAGTTACTGAAGCTTCAGTTTATGTGGGTGACAAAACTATTTAGGACTGGAGAATGTGAAAAATGTGCGCCACATTACATCTGGGTACCGTAGAGTTTAATGTATTCAATCATTCCTTAATGGACCTATAGCCTCATGCTTTGATGTCCTGCTCTCTCCCGTCTCTCGTGCTTCCTTCCCTCCTGCCTTGATTCAAGCCACTACCCATAAACATTTAAATGAGTCTGCATGTAAACACTGAACATTATCAACAAAAGACAACATTCACAATACTACAAACAACAGAATTACAGTTAAGAACCCCCTACCTACCGAAGCCGTAAATGGTGAGACATTACTTCAGCTCAAAATCTAGCTGAAAAAAAATCCTCAGGAACAATGAGGGAATCTGGGAATCTTTGACAAGCTGTTAGCTTCCTGTCCTCATCAAAGCCACTAGAGATAGTGGCCCTCAGTTAAATTTAGATGTGCTGATACTATTAATTTGACCAATACACCATTTTGACTATGACCACAAATTTGACAGATACTAATACAATACTGTCTTATATACTGATAGTGAAAATTTTTGTCGGTTGTTAAAACTGTATCCACCTACAGTATTTAGAAATCACAAATATTAAAGTATCACCTGAAACTTTAAAGATAATGGAAAAATAGGCCAGATCACAGACGTTGATTCACCAGTACGCCTCTCGTGATCCCCAACACATGCAAGGTACAAAAACAGCCAACCTTTACTGAGTTATCATCTTTTAGCTCTTCCTTTTTTCTTATGTCCCTGTGATCCTTAACTTCCTTCTTCTTTCTTTTATCATCTTCTCTTGCTTTCTTCCTTTCAAATTCCTTTCTCCTCCTCTCCTCCTTTTTCTCTTCCTTACTTCGCAACTTTTCAGCTTTCTTTTGTTCAATAAACTCAAGTAAAGGTGTCTTGATTTTCATAACTCCATTGTTTGCTGTGATTATTAAATAAGATATTCATTATATAAGAAACTAATCTACAAGAATGATATATTTCAATATTTATATAAGATTTTGTAACACATTTTCAGAAAACATTTTAAATACTGTACTGTAATTACATTCTTAACCTAATGCTTAATGGAACGTTTAATTAATATTTACTAAGCTATAAATGCCACAGATCTACCATTATCCTAACATGATTAGTAATAACAGAGCTCTCAAGAAAATCAAATGAAGGGAGCTTTACCCTTCAGCTCCCTATCTTGTGCTTGAATCTCTTCGAGTACGACCTCTAGCGGAGGCAGTGTCACAGTTACAGGGTTGGTGATCGACTCCAAGAAGGTGAGGAAATCTGGGTCTTGGTCTATGGTTCCACACCTTGCATCTCTCTTTTTCCCACTCGTGCGCTTTGGAATCTTTTGAAAAGGAGCAAACTCCACCATGGCTGGATTTTCATTCCCTGTAAAATACAAAAATTCTGATAAAAGAAAATAATCATTATTCTCATATAAAGTGAAGACAATAATATCTGACCACTGAGCAAGCAAGCTAATAACCATTTTTATAACCTTTTAAATAGTTATGCCTAATTAGGTGATATCAAGAGCATAACATATAGGCAACAGATATTCCTGGGCCCTCTCAACAGTAGATCACATATAATGACACTTTTATGAAATTATTTTAAAAACCAAAATAGTTTGTTGAATGTAATGACACTACCTTTTCTGGGAGTTCCTAAGTTGGGTCTCTGAGCTTACGACTGGAGCTCCAGAAATAACCCCGATCCATCAGACACTGCGACCATCTCTGCCTAACGTGAGCAAGTACCCTTCCCGAATCCTACTAAATTCTGAGAAAGAATATAACAAACTCCAAAACAAAGACAAATATTTCATTACAAGCAAATTGCCAAACAAAGCTCAAACAAGCAAAATTTCACCTTCCCAACTTGTGAGCTGTCTCGATCCTGGGTGTACCCAACCAACACAGGGAAGAAAGAAGAAATGGATGGGAAAGAGGAGCCACTGAGAGGCCCCTAAAAAATCAGTGCTGAATGTAATGAAACGCCAGTGTCTGGGCGAGACCCGGGGTCTCCCTGAAGCTATCTTACTGATCAAGTCCCATCTACTTGAGTGTCATTAGTCGCAGAGTTTTTTGTAAGCCTACCAGGGACCCCAAGCCAGAACCTGGTCCCATCAGAGAGACAAAGCGAAGAATGGCCATGACCACTTTACATTTAAAGTATGTCATCTTGCCATCGACTTGGTAAGAACCCAGAAAGGTAGGCGAATAAAAACAGACCACTGTCTGGTTGAAAAATGCAGGCTACTTTTGTGAAGTGGGAAGTGCAAAAGTACTTCCCCAGAAAGAAAACAAACAAGCAAAACTTCGTTCAACTAGCCCCCCGCTCGTTACTCCCCCCATCCCCTGCTAGGGGGAGGGTGAGCCAGTCTAGGTAAGTCAGGCCGTCACTCTCCAGTTCTTTGAATGATGAAAGCAGTCAGCAGAGGGAGGGTTTTCAGGGAGCCTCCGGGGCTCACTCAGAAATTAGCATTTCATTACATTCAACGCTGGTTTTCTGTGGGAAGCCCCATCGGCTTTTGAGGCAAACTACCCATAGAGAAGGAAAACAGGGAAAAACCCCGGAAGGTGGCAGCTCTGCAGAGTGCAACCCGACAAAGACAGCCGTTCTCCACAGAAGCCACAAAGCAGCAGAGGGCTTGGGACGGGCATGAGACACCTGGAGGCTAGGACCCTGACTGACCCCCAAATTCCCCCTCCGAGGCCAAAAACCTTTTAAAGACAGCCAAATGAGCAGCATACATCTGAACAACATGGGTACAAGGGGAGACCACAGGCCAGCTAGACAAGAAGACAATGCGGACAATCCGAGATGCACGAACCCTGGAACTGAGAAGCAGGGAAACATGATCAACCCAGAGCACGGCCACCGACACAGAACTGGTGGCCTGCAGGAAGCAGCATAAAGCCACCACCGGACACAGCACGTGACACACCCCCAGCCTAACCAACCAAGCATCCACAACCAACGGATCCCTCCGGAAGCCCACCATCTCATTCTATTCCAGAAAAGAAGGTGCAGGCAGCCCAATGAACAAAATACACACCACCACCGCCTGATCCCCAAGATCAACAGACAAGGAATGAGGAATTTGAAGTACTGTACAGTACAAGTGGGGAAAAAGTTCCGCAAGGCTCATAGGTCATAGGTAGGTCATAGGTGTCACCAACTCAACAGGCAGCATGATGTAAGCAGTACGGATGATCGTCTCCTTGAGGCAGGGGTGACGAACAACCTTAAACTTCGCAACAGGCGAGAGAGGACTCGGAAGACGCATCCATGATACCTCCAACCCCACTGGGGTGTTCTAGGCCCCGTAGGGTGAGTAAGCCCTACCGGAAGCCCAGGCATTGGGCTAGCTAAGCCGGTAGAACCCTGTCTGTCAGCAGACAAATGAAACAGCCATGAAACATCTGGTGAGCCAGAATTCGGGTGGAGGGAGGGGGGGGGTATATTTCAACATTTTAGGCAGTAGATTGCACAGGTTAACCAGACAGTGGTCTGTTTTGATTCACTTACCTTTCCGAGTCCTTCCCCAGTCGATGGCAATTATGACATGCTTTAAATGTAAAGTGCTCATAGGCCATTGCTCCCTGTGCCTCTCTGTAGGGGGCCAGGTTCTGACTTGTGGTCCCCAGTAGGCATAAGAACTGTGACTGATTACCCCAAACTAATATAGCACAAATCAGTTCGGATAGCTTCAGGGAGCCGACGGGGATTCCCACCGAAATGCAAGCAGGTCATAATAATAATAATAATAATAATAAAAATAATAAAAATAATAATAATAATAAATAATAATACAGTAATAAATAATAATAATAAATAATAATAAATATAATAATAATAATAATAATAATAATAATAATAATAATAATAATAATAATAATAATAATAATAATAATAATAAAAAAAGAAAACTCAGTCATGGAGGACCAGAAAAGAAATGTGTGGGGACACTAGAAAACCTGCCCCTCACCCATTGCACCCATGTTCAGTGGCTCATTTCTTTGCATCCACAAGTCGTTAATATACAGTATTTGGTAAATAAGGTGTTTGGCACACAATGGCAGTACAGTATCTCTAAATAATTGGGATAACAGTATTGTATAAATTTTGATTCTGAAATCCAGATATAATTTTTTATATGTGTACAGTATAATGTTCTTTTCATGGTGTTTGCTCATGTACTCACCTAATTGTGCTTGCAGGGGTTGAGCTTTAGCTCTTTGGTCCCGCCTCTCAACTGTCAACCAACTGGTGTACAGATTTCTGAGCCTACTGGGCTCTATCATATCTACACTTGAAACAGTGTATGGAGTCAGCCTCCACCACATCATTTCCTAGTGCAATCCATTTATTAACTACTCTGACACTGAAAAAATTCTTTCTAATGTCTCTGTGGCTCATCTGGGTACTAAGTTTCCACCTGTGTCCCCTTGTTCAACCTACGGTTTAGCACAAACATCAACCTAAAATCAAGAGAGGGAAGAAATTAAATAAGAAATTACCATTTTAATATGAAGATAAAAATTCTTATGATTTCTATAAGACTCGTGCACAAAATCATTAAAATCTCAAAACTATAATATTTATTCCAACAGTTCATCATATATTGTACCTTAATGGTACAATATTAACATTGTACCTTAATGTTCTAACATGTTATCTATGCACGGTATATTCAAAGAATTTTGGAAGTTTTTGTGGATTGTTCCTATGCACTGGTTGAGGGATTACAGGTATTCTTTGGCATCACTGTCCTGTCGCAAGTATGTCAGTAATATACTTGCTCCATATTCACATTAGCTTATGTGCAGATAATGAGATGGGGCTGTTAATTCTACTTTGTCCACTAATTATAATTAATACCTCTTCCTACGTGTACTGTTAATACCTTTCCCAAACCTGCTATAGGATGGTCGGGTGAGGTGTAGGACTGGTAATATAAGTAGTCGACAGCAAATCCTCATCAGTCTAACTCCAAGAGTGGTTCAGTACAGATGCTTATGAGATACAGTATCGCATATCTTCAACATTCACCAACAACAATGTAACACTCGACGTGTCCAGTTCAAACCCCTCACAAGACGCTTCAGCCTCGACACAGCACACAGCCAGACTCCTGTTGCATTGAGCTTCCACGCTCTTGTCCTGCACCGAGCTCCTCGACTCCGCTCGTATTCAGAGCGCCACACTCTACAACGCTCACTCCGCATCCGAGCTTCTTTCTATCCCGTCTCGCTCAGCTCTCTGCCCTGCTCCAGGCATCATCTCAACTTCTATGACACTTTATTGCACTACCAACACACCGACTGCTATAACCAAGACTATACGTACTAAATAATTATAAAACAAAAACAAAAAAACACTAAACTCTGTGTCAAATCAACCAAATACGTACACATAATATACATTAGTCTGGATAACTGCTAGCTGTCCAGATTCAGGCAAATTTACCCGATGCAGAGGATTGGCTGTTGGAGCTACTAGTACCCTGGTACACCTTATAATGTGTATGGCAAATGACTAAATTATAATAACTTGCAAATGACTAAATTATAATAACTTGTACTATAAAACTTACTATTTGTTTTAATTTTACATATAAAATCCAGATATCTGGATCCCTTTAAATAACAGACTAGATCTTTCCTCCAAATTTCTAATGTTTAAATAAGTCCAGAAAGAATATTGCCTAATTTATAAATTTAAACAGGTTCCAAGAATATTTCATAGGTCAAATCATCCACATTACAAAATCATATCTCCCTAATTACAGTGGAACCTTGGTTTATGAATGCCCTGGATTACAAATTTTTCGGTATACGAAGTCAATTTCCTCGTAAAATTTAACTTGATGTACGAAGTTTGCCTCGGAATATGAATGCTGGTTGATACATGTATGGGTAGAGCGCATGGGTGGTGCTGGGCGTGGGGCAAGGCACGCTCAGTTTATCAGTGTATCCCGCCTAGTGACGACAGAGCTTGAATTCTTTGTGAAGAATTTCATTGTTTTTCTGGTATTTTGGTTTCTGAACATAAAGGTTCTTATTATACTTAGACAATTTTTTATATAGGGGGTACCAACTCTGGTTGATTGTACCGACCCATAAGCCTCAAAGAAGACGATATGCAGCACCCAGGAGAGCCTTGTCGGGCTCTCTCGTGCACTGGCACATATCGTCTTCTACCATCCCCTTATATATTCATATATATAGGGAAATTTATTGTACAAGATTTCATGATTACAAAATGTGGCCTTAACACACACACAACACAATCAATACAAGTAGAATGAAAAACATGCCAATTGGAAACATTGATAAAAGTCATGGACAGATTCGATCATTGTTGCAAGTCAAACACTTCTTCCAATTCCTCCAAAGTTGGACTCGTGCCCAAGACGCAACAGGCACGTCTTGGATCTTGGATCGTCTTTGAATTGCAACACTGAGGCGCTGGAACATGAAACTTTTCGCTCTCTGGTCTTTTGTAGCGCCGATCAATTTGTCTCCCAATTCCTTTAGGAACTTCAATGCACATTTTCCCCACGAACCGAGGGTCTCCGAACCAATCAGACAGTTAAATATATTTAATTAAGTAAATGTGTGCAGTATGGGAAGAACTGCAAAGTATTGCTGAAAAGACTCACCCAGATAAAGCTGTAGCAGGCCATTGCATTAACGTTTTAAATGACAATACAGTATGTCTCACTCCAGACAAGTGTTAAAACGTAGGGAAAAACAAGTGTCTATTGACAGATTCTTAGTAAGACAAGCTAGCAGTGAGCCACAACCAGGCTCTAGTGGTATGCCTGCAAAACATACGAAAGAGAGTACCCCAGAAATGTAATTACCTAAGTGTAATTACCTAATATGTCACCACTGCCTGATGTTATAATGGAAGAGGACTCCCCTTCCAAACACTAACACCTCTAATCCTCCTCTTCCCCTCTTCACCGTCTTCCATACGCCAACAAGAGTCCTCAATAAAGGATATGCAGCACCCAGTAAAAATGCAGTTTTTTACAGCACCCATATTGTAAAAAATATGAGTAGTATTCTGTATAAAATGTATTTTTAAGTTAATATTTTTGGGTGTGGAACGAATTAGTTCAGTTTACATTATTTTTTATGGGAAAATTAGTTTCGGTTTAAGAACCGTCTCTTGGAACGGATTAAATTTGTAAACCAAGGTGCCACTGTATTTATTTTAACAAGTCCCCATATTTCATAAAATTTGAGATAAGTGTTTTCAGTATTTTGGGGTCAAGCTCCTATATATATTATATAAAAAAAATAGCATTATGGTGTTGGATCCTCGGAAATAATGGAGATAAGGGTATAATCTCTCTACATTAACGTTCTTATGGTATATGACCATCATCCTGATAAGTTGAAATTTAGAAATCTGTATTGGGTCAGAAACAAAATGACCTGAATTTTGGCTTCAGTTGTAGTGCACTGTTCACCATTTCTAGCGAATTATAGTACTGCCCCCATTTCTCTTTCATTCTCTATATTCTTCACACCAATTTCATTTATCACATGTACCCTCTAATCCACTTGTTATGGTCTGAACTATTGTCACATATTATCCAATTGTTCCCCCATCAACTGTCAGCTCTCAGATATTACTTCTCACTTGTTTACCCTCGAATCCTCAGCCTCTCACTGTCATTCTGTATTCCTCTCCACAACAATATTTCTTTGTTTTGCTCAGGTAATGCATAATAACAAATAATCTAGAAAGTCTTCTCACAAACTGTTTAATTTCAATGAATATCTCAATTACCTTTCTGATCAACAAATACATAACCATCAAACTTGTCCCTGAATATATAGACATCATCCACATTCTTGAAGTTTATGTATGCTCGAGTATATGCATTGGGACCAAGACTGCCATCAGTTGGACAGAAGGTAAAGTAGTCATGTTCTGGAAGAGGAGAGACAGCTTCACGGAACTCCTCCTCTGTCATGTTAGGAGGAAGTCGGCGTACCACCACCTGTGTATAAGAATATTTTTGTTATTATGAAGGCACTGTAGAACAAAGCACAATAGCTGGTATAGTTGTGTTTGTACAAAATTTGTTTCTAATATAAATTACTTGCCCAATGCATTATCCAACAACAGTGTATACGACACACACCTGTTACTTTATAGTGTAAAGATAATAGTAAACTACTATAAAAAAAAGAAAAGAAAAAAAAGAAGATATTCAGCAGGAGTGAGAAATGGTTTATGGAACTCACTGCATTTCATACAGTATCGAATGCACTCTTACATTCCCATACAAGAGTAATGGTTAAGAGCAAGAATAGATTACATGGGGCATACAGGTTATGAGACAAGATATTAAATACATGAGAGATGGTAAAAAATCTATTAATGAATATAAATAAACTTTCTATGGAATACCATATATATATTAAATTATATTGAACCCTCATGCAGTATAGACCAGATTTATAATTAAGGTGCCAGATATATTATATTCAATCAACCAATTATATATTGGCATTCAATTATGTGGCCATAGAAATGCTAGAAAAATTATTTGAAGCATTCATTAGACCCAAGATGGAATAAGTAGCATTAGTGGAGTGCCCTTGCCTGAAGAAATACATCATGTTAGAAAGAATGCAGAGGAATGCCAAATGGGTATCAGGAATGAAATATATATAAGCTATTCAGGAAGGCCAACCACTTGGGCTGGACGGTAGAGCGACGGTCTCGCTTCGTGCAGGTCGGCGTTCAATCCCCAACCGTCCAAGTGGTTAGGCACCATTCCTTCCCTCCGTCCCATCCTAAATCCTTATCCTGATCCCTTCCCAGTGCTATATAGTCATAATGTCTTGGCGCTTTCCCCTGATAGTTCAATTGAATTCGGGAAAGCCAAAACAATAAGTGCTTACAACACTGGAAGATTAAAAGGAAAAAAATCCAATGTTATATTTAATGAAACAGTTCTATTGATTGGCTTTGGCAGAACCTCTCTTCGATCTTTGGTGTCAAGATTTCGTAAGTTGTCATATGCCTTCTTTCGCCCATGGCCTGCTAATTCTTGCCCTGAGCCTTCTTAGTCTCTAGATTGGGTGCTTGATTTTCTGTCTTCCCTTCATTTGTTTCTGTGCCTTTTGGTCCAGCATCTCCTTTTTTTTTTTTTTTTTTTTTTTTTTTTTTAAGATGGTCTTTATGTTGGCCCATGCTTCTGGTTGTTGGGTCGAAGAGCTTTATCCTCTCCTCAGGAAGAGGGAAAGTTTTGTTCTTCAGTCCTGGGGATTGGGTCCTATGTCTTCAGCTGTCTTCTTTTCTGGCTAAGATGCTGGTTTCCAGAAGGGTCATTTGGTGGGTATGGCTTGATTTCTAAAGCCAGGGATTCATCACATTCTTTGTCCAGGTGGGCAGTTCACTGTTACCCGTGTGTCACTTGGGCTGCCCCAAAGGAGGCTTTGTTTGTCAAACCATGTCTCTGGCTCCCAGTTCTAGGGCTTGGTTGTCTCAGGTTAGTCACAAGGTGGTAACCTTCGGAAGGAGGGAAAGACATGCCTAACTGACCTAAGCCAAATAATGGAGATAAGGGTACACTACACCACTACACCACAGTCTCCGTGGTGTAGTGGTTAGACACTTGCCTGGCGTTCCGTGAGCGCTTTGTCATGGGTTCGTATCCTGGCCAGGGAGGATTTACTGGGCGCAAATCCTTAACTGTAGCCTCTGTTTAACGCAGCAGTAAAATGTGTACTTGGTTGTAACAACGATTCTTCGCGGCGGGGATCGTATTCCAGGGACCTGCCTGAAACACTACGCGTACTAGTGCCTGTACAAGATTGTAACAACTCTTGTATGTATGTATGTATGTATGTATGTATGTATGTATGTATGCATGTATGTATGTATGTATGTATATATGTATTTATATATATATATATATATATATATATATATATATATATATATATATATATATATATATATATATATATATACATATATATGTATATATATATATGTATATATATATATATATATATATATATATATATATATATATATATATATGTATATATATATATATATATATATATATATATATATATATATATATATATATATATATATATATATATATATAGTATATTTTGGTAGCAGTCTTTCCTGTAGACACATATTATTAAATATGACCGAAAAAGTAAGATTAATAATTCTAACACGAATTTTCTCAATCTTTCGTACATTACGCTTCACTGTTGGAGGTAAATAAAAAATCACTTCTCCAAAATTCATTTTTATTTCTAGTCTGACGCGACACGGGCGCGTTTCGTAAAACTTATTACATTTTCAAAGACTTCACAAATACACAACTGATTAGAACTTACGTATCTCTGATTTTATATCTACATTTGAGTGAGGTGGGAGGGGTGATGTGGCATTAACACAAGACAGAACAAGAGGGGATATTAATAGGGTATTAAAAGTATCAACACAAGACAGAACAGACAAAACAAAATATACAGACAAAAATCCCTACAGACAAAAATCAGAGGATACAACTGACGATTTACTATAAAACCAGAAAAACGGCCAGCCTACTCATGAGAAACTCTCCAGACACAAAACAGAACGCTTTAAAAGAGACTAACGTCGTCTATGCCTTCAAATGCCCACTTGGGGACTGTAAGCTCCAAAAAACCCAGTATATAGGCAAGACAACAACATCTCTTTCTAGGCGTTTAACGATGCATAAGCAACAGGGCTCCATTAAGGAACATATAATCTCTTCCCATAACCAAACCATCGCCAGAGAAATCCTAGTAAACAACACAGAAATCATCGATAGATACAGCGATAGCAGGCGGCTTGACGTTTGCGAGGCACTACACATCAAGAAGTCAACACCAGCAATCAACAGCCAATTATTGCACAACTATATTCTACCCACCTCAAGACTCCGCTCCAATATAGAAGCATCAAGAAATATGGACCAATAGGCTTTCTACAAACACTTCTATTCAATACCCATTGTTTCTGTTCTGTCTTGTGTTGATACTTTTAATACCCTATTAATATCCCCTCTTGTTCTGTCTTGTGTTAATGCCACATCACCCCTCCCACCTCACTCAAATGTAGATATAAAATCAGAGATACGTAAGTTCTAATCAGTTGTGTATTTGTGAAGTCTTTGAAAATGTAATAAGTTTTACGAAATGCGCCCGTGTCGCGTCAGACTAGAAATAAAATGAATTTTGGAGAAGTGATTTTTGATTTACCTCCAACAGTGAAGCGTAATGTACGAAAGATTGAGAAAATTCGTGTTAGAATTATTAATCTTACTTTTTCGGTCATATTTAATAATATATATATATATATATATATATATATATATATATATATATATATATATATATATATATATATATATATATATATATATATATATATATATATATATATATATATATATATATATATATATATATATATATATATATATATATATATATATATATATATATATATATATATATATATATATATATATATATATATATATATATATATATATATATATATATATATATATATATGTATATATATATATATATATATATATATATATATATATATATATATATATATATATATATATATATATATATATATATATATATATATATATATATATATATATATATATATATATATATATATATATATATATATATATATATAAAGCACTCATCAACAGGTCAACCAACACAACACAAGCCTAGAAGTGGCCAAGAGACATTCAGAAAGTACTTGGCAGCCAGTACCCTGTATGAGTGCCACAAACTTTAAGCCCATGGACATGTGAGCAAAGAAGGCTGATAAAGCAACAAACTTGCACACATCATGAGCTAACCTAACCGAACTGAGCCTAACACAGTCAAACCTATGCTAAAACATCCTAACCTTATGATGTATATGGTTTTAACAATCAGAAAATGAGTTTTGCTGAACTGTCTTGAGTACACTTTCCCCATAAACAATGTATACTGATACATATACCTCTGTCAAGGACAAAAAGCCAAACAGATTTATGATGGTTCCCCAAAACAGGAGCAAAGCTATCTATTTAATCATTCCTATTTCTGATCATACCCAACTGGCCCCTAAGCCTGGCGAGTAAATTTATTTAGTTTTAAGTTTTATTCTAATTGTTTTCCCACATCTTGCCTGAAACGCTGTGCGTCTTAGTGACTTCAGGCATAGTATGTACAGTACTAGCTCTATCTAGAAATACAACATTCTGTTTGCAGCTCATCTTGTATGTATGTATGTATTTTTACCTGAATAAACATTTATTATTATTATTATACGAACTTTGAGAACCCTCTCCATGTACTCCAAGTACAATGATGCTTAACCTGACCAAGTAACATATGCATGTCCCTGTGTCACATTGCGGAGAGTACAGTGGATAGAACATTGTGGCATACAGAAACCTAAATTTTAAAGCAAGTGCTCAATAAGGGGGTTTATGGTACGGTTGTGAGTACCTTGGTGAGAGGAGAGTTGCTCTTGTCTTTCTTGTTCTTGACATTCTGTCTGTTATCTGACGGCCGCTTGGCAGAGCTGTCAACAAAGCTCTTGGAACCGTCTCTCCTTGAGGATTCGCTGGTTTTGACTGTCATGTGAGCCAAAAAAAACTAGTGCAGCAACAGACGTGCAGCAACAGACGGGAAGCAAGACTCACTGCCACAGCTCTTGTTTACATCCAGGAGTCAGGGATCCTTTGAGTAAACTGTCATGCTGTTAATACAATAATAATAATAACAGTAGTTAATAATAATAATAATAATAATAATAATAATAATAATAATAATAATAATAATAATAATAATAATAATAATAATAATAATAATAATAATAATAATAATAATAATAATAATAATAATAATAATAATAATAATAATAATAATAATACCAATAATAATAATAATAATAATAATAATAATAATAATAATAATAATAATAAATTTATAAGATATATAAACGATCAGTTTTTTTTATTAACAAGCATAAGTTTACACAGCACTGACTGTGCTTTCAAACAATACTGCTTATGTGCTTATTTTCAAACAATTTATTTATATATTAAATTTAGAGAAAATAAGCAACTAACTATAACTATAACTATAAAAACTATATATTTATATATTAAATTAAGTGGGTTAAAGGTATACCTGCTATGCCAGTTGCTGTAAGGCTTCTGTGCTGGCTAGGGTTCGAGTCTCCTGATGGGAAAGTATTCTAAAGTTGTAAAACTTCACATGCGTGTTTTAGTCAAGCTAGTGCATTAAACATAGACACAGTGTTCTCCCATATTAACAGGGACTTGATGGAACGGGAGACATCTCCCGTCATGCAGGGTGCAGCCGCACCTGCACAGATCTCCAGTATCATCTATTGATACTGGTAATGGTTCAAAAGGGCCACCACTTACGGGCTATTCGTGCCCGTGCCACCTTTTGGGTGGCTTAATCTTCATCAGTCAATCAGGGACTTGATGAAAGAACTTGAGTGACCTCTTACTAGCTCTAGTTGCCCTAGGGAGGTGGTGATCTTTGGGGGGTGTAAATACCCCGAAATCACCATCTCTTTTAAGGGTCTGAGTTTGGGTGCAGTGGGTTAAAGGCGTACCTGCTATCCCAGTTGCTTTGAGACTTCTGTGCTGGCTAGGGTTCGAGTCTCCTGATGGGAAAGTGTTCTAAAGTTGTAAAACTTCACTTGCGTGTTTTAGGCAAGTTAGTGCATATGTATGTATATATATATATATATATATATATATATATATATATATATATATATATATATATATATATATATATATATATATATATATATATATATATATATATATATATATATATATATATATATATATATATATATATATATATATATATATTTTATTAAATATGACCGAAAAAGTAAGATTAATAATTCTAACACGAATTTTCTCAATCTTTCGTACATTATGCTTCACTGTTGGAGGTAAATCAAAATCACTTCTCCAAAATTCATTTTTATTTCTAGTCTGACGCGACACGGGCGCGTTTCGTAAAACTTATTACATTTTCAAAGACTTCACAAATACACAACTGATTAGAACTTGCGTTTCCCTGATTTTATATCTACATTTGAGTGAGGTGGGAAGGGTGATGTGGCATTACATTTTGAGTGAGGTGGGAAGGATGATGTGGCATTAGAGGATATTAATAGGGTATTAAAAGTATCAACACAAGACAGAACACGAAACAATGGATATTGAATAGAAGTGTTTGTAGAAAGCCTATTGGTCCATATTTCTTGATGCTTCTATATTGGAGCGGAGTCTTGAGGTGGGTAGAATATAGTTGTGCAATAATTGGCTGTTGATTGCTGGTGTTGACTTCTTGATGTGTAGTGCCTCGCAAACGTCAAGCCGCCTGCTATCGCTGTATCTATCGATGATTTCTGTGTTGTTTACTAGGATTTCTCTGGCGATGGTTTGGTTATGGGAAGAGATTATATGTTCCTTAATGGAGCCCTGTTGTTTATGCATCGTTAAACGCCTAGAAAGAGATGTTGTTGTCTTGCCTATATACTGGGTTTTTTGGAGCTTACAGTCCCCAAGTGGGCATTTGAAGGCATAGACGACGTTAGTCTCTTTTAAAGCGTTCTGTTTCGTGTCTGGAGAGTTTCTCATGAGTAGGCTGGCCATTTTTCTGGTTTTATAGTAAATCGTCAGTTGTATCCTCTGATTTTTGTCTGTAGGGATAACGTTTCTATTAACAATATCTTTCAGGACCCTTTCCTCTGTTTTATGAGCTGTGGAAAAGAAGTTCCTGTAAAATAGTCTAATAAGGGGTATAGGTGTTGTGTTAGTTGTCTCTTCGGAGGTTAAGTATATAGTAACGTCGTCTATGCCTTCAAATGCCCACTTGGGGACTGTAAGCTCCAAAAAACCCAGTATATAGGCAAGACAACAACATCTCTTTCTAGGCGTTTAACGATGCATAAACAACAGGGCTCCATTAAGGAACATATAATCTCTTCCCATAACCAAACCATCGCCAGAGAAATCCTAGTAAACAACACAGAAATCATCGATAGATACAGCGATAGCAGGCGGCTTGACGTTTGCGAGGCACTACACATCAAGAAGTCAACACCAGCAATCAACAGCCAATTATTGCACAACTATATTCTACCCACCTCAAGACTCCGCTCCAATATAGAAGCATCAAGAAATATGGACCAATAGGCTTTCTACAAACACTTCTATTCAATATCCATTGTTTCGTGTTCTGTCTTGTGTTGATACTTTTAATACCCTATTAATATCCTCTAATGCCACATCATCCTTCCCACCTCACTCAAAATGTAATGCCACATCACCCTTCCCACCTCACTCAAATGTAGATATAAAATCAGGGAAACGCAAGTTCTAATCAGTTGTGTATTTGTGAAGTCTTTGAAAATGTAATAAGTTTTACGAAACGCGCCCGTGTCGCGTCAGACTAGAAATAAAAATGAATTTTGGAGAAGTGATTTTTGATTTACCTCCAACAGTGAAGCATAATGTACGAAAGATTGAGAAAATTCGTGTTAGAATTATTAATCTTACTTTTTCGGTCATATTTAATAAAATATGTCTACAGGAAAGACTGCTACCAAAATATACTAATATATATATATATATATATATATATATATATATATATATATATATATATATATATACAGTATATATATATATATATATATATATATATATATATATATATATATATATATATATATACAGTATATATATATATATATATATATATATATATATATACTTTCATCCAAGTAGTATATATATATATATATATATATATATATATATATATATATATATATATATATATATATATATATATATATATATATATATATATATATATATATATATATATATATATATATATATATATAACTGAAAACACACACCCCAGAAGTGATTCGAACCCATACTGCCAGAAGCAATGCATCTGATGTCACTTAGCTACCTCATCCTGCCACTTAGCCTCGTCTAATTTCGTTATAAAATGATATTATTTCAGAACCAAAATATGTTTTTTTCATGTTCTACATTCAGCCCTAACATTATAGTGAGTAAATATATCATTGTTCTTCATTAATTACGTAATGCTAGGAAGCTTTGGGTAGTTCTGAGTAGTTTTGGGTGATAAGACGGAGCGATTCTCGGTTTTAAACATATCATAGTTCTTTATACTCGTGCTCTCTGGTCTCTGAATATCGGTAACTGCTTTTCTATCATCCGTAATTTCATGTAATACTGCGGCTTTTACAGCAGAGATGGGAATGCCCATATCCAACTCCATTTCAGGCTTATCACATGCAGTTTTAGCTGCCTTGTCTGTGTCATCATGCTGGACAACACCTGTGGGAGATGGTATCCATACAAATGAGACTCTGAAACGCTTGCTCTGTGCATTAATGATGTTGTTTATAATGGATGTTACAATATTCCTATCTGTTTTGGCTTAGCATGTTGGGTTTCTAAGTGCTTGAAGAGCTAACTTTGAATCACAGAAAATTACTCCACCACGTCTGTTCTTCAGTGCGTAAATGGGCAGTTGTAGTGCAGCTAACTCTGCATGTGTGGAGCTAAGGCCAGTTATTTAGCCTGACACTTGAGGTCTGTGTACATATGTTGTCTTTGTATATTCTACAGGTTGCTGCAATACGACAAGTTATCAATAAAGCAGTCCCCGTGGCGCAGTGGTAAGACACTCCCCTGGTGCTTCGCGAGCGCTTTGGCCTGTGTTCGTAGCCTGGCTGGGGAGGATTGACCGGGCGCCAATCCTTAACTGTTCACCCAGCAGTGAATGGGTACTTGGTTGTTAAACGATTTGGCGGGTCGTATTCCAGGGAAAATTAGGATTAAGGCTACGCTATACTATGCATGCTAGTGGCTTTACAAGAAGCAACACAAACAAGGAGCAACGGTTTCAAGCTCAACAAGCCACACTGTAGGACTGAGAGCAGGAGATGCTTTTTTTTTTTTTTTTTTTTTTTGAGATATATACAAGAGTTGTTACATTCTTGTACAGCCACTAGTACGCGTAGCGTTTCGGGCAAGTCCTTAATCCTATGGTCCCTGGAATACGATCCCCTACCGCGAAGAATCGTTTTTTCATCCAAGTACACATTTTACTGTTGCGTTAAACAGAGGCTACAGTTAAGGAATTGCGCCCAGTAAATCCTCCCCGGCCAGGATACGAACCCATGACATAGCGCTCGCGGAACGCCAGGCGAGTGTCTTACCACTACACCACGGAGACTGTCAATTTTTCACCCACAGGGTTATAAACCCGTGGAACCGCCTACCCGCCGAAGCCGTAGATGCCAAAACATTGCTGAATTTTAAAATCAAGCTTGAAAAAAATGATCAGGACAAATAGGGGACCTTTGACAAGCCGCCGGTTTCCTGTCCTCTTCGTAGCCATTATAGTGCGTTAGTGGCCATTAGGTAAATTCAGGTATATTTTAGAAGCCATTAATAACGGCAAGCGTAAAAGGAATAAATTAAAATAATAACTGATTTTGTGTTTAAAATTTATTGGGAATAATACTATATGAGAATCAAGATAATTATACAGAATGAACTCCTAAATAAATTAGCTAATGATGAACCTTTAGAGTTAATCTTAATGATGAAAGGCATATATAAGTTT